GCAGGTTTGAGGCGAGAACATCGTCAATACCAGCGATCAACTTTTGGAATGAACTTGAAAATGAGATGATCTCGCTGATTGTGCCCGTCTTATCACTCTTTTCCTCTGCCACAAAGACAATCAATGTGGCATCTGCTTTCTTCCCCCCAGGAAATATCACTTCCGCTGCGACACTTGCTCCAGCAGGGAAGTAATTTCGGACGTGGTGCTCGATTTCGCCCAGTTCCACGCGCTGGCCGCGCAGTTTCACCTGTTGATCGGCACGGCCGATGAAAACAACACTGCCTGAGGCATCAGGATCATATCTTACCAGGTCACCGGTCTTGTAGAGACGACCCTTGCGACCTGGCACATCTCCCCCACCCTCAAGCAACCATGCCGGGTCCTCGATGAAAACCTCGGCGGTTTTCTCTGGATTATTGAGGTATCCATCACCGACCACGGGGCCTTCAACAAGCAGCTCTCCCACGGCGCCGATGGGCATCAATCGGTCGTGGTTGGATGGATCTACCACCCATGTTGTGCCTCCGACTCCCTGTCCGATACTGGTGTACGATCGACCGGGAGGGATGTCGTTGTTGATTGTGCAACCAACAGTGCACTCCGATGGTCCATATGCGATCACGACCTTCGTCTTCTGGCCCCATTCGGCCGCATCGCTAGCAGAGATTGACTCACCACCAAGGCCAATGACCTCCAGCGATGGCATGATATCAGGAGCCAAGACACGTGCAACCGATGGTGTCATGTGCGCCATGTTTACATTCAATCCGCGAATGGCGCCACTGAGATCGTTGACTCGTTGGTCTTCTGAGGGCACACAAATGCAACCTCCGTTGGCCAAAGTGCACAGCATGCAGTCAACACTGACATCGAATGCATACGAGGGGAAGTCGAGCACTCGCGAGTGCTCTTTGTATCCCACAGCTGCGGCGCGAGGTACTGCACCACTAGTGTAGTTGGAGTGCGAAATGACTACACCCTTAGGCTTGCCAGTACTACCGGAGGTGAACTGGATGTAAAGGGTTGACGACGCTGGGACCACAGGTAGGTCTACCGAGAGTGATTTCAATTTGTCTTCGTCGACCAGCGGGCCAACAATAACTTGCTTTCCTCCTGGGACAATGCGCGATCCTAGTTCCGCCTGCAACTCCGAGGTCAAGATAAACTCAGCCTCAACCTCGCTGGCGATAGTGCTCAGTCGTCCCTCGGGCTGACTAGGATCCATGAGAACCAATGCACCGCCAGCCTTCATCACTGCGAGCACACCGACAATTGTCCACATAGACTTTTCAAAGCAGAGTGGAACAGCCTTGCCAATTTGCAGTCCGAGATCAACTAGATATCTGGCTAGGTTTGTTGAGCGCTCTTCTAGCTGTCCATAGGTCATCTCTCCATCCCAAGATACGACTGCAGGACGATCGATTTGACTTTGAGCTTTTTCACTGATTATATCTTGAATGCAATGATCGATAGTTGGGGGCATTAGCCCGTTCCACTTCCATAACTGTGACAGCTCTCGCCGTCCAATCTGAATGGCCTTAGCCACGGGCTTATCGAGGTCACTGGCGATAGAAATAATGAGGTCGGCGAAGATATCAGGTAGGACGGCTTCGACAGGCTGCGTGGCTGTCGGGGACCGCGGAGTCCCGCGAACATACACAACACCATCCGAGAGCTTTGCTTCCAGGGCAAATGTCCACTAATCAAGTTAATAACCGATCACAGCTATAATTTTAGATCTACTTACTTTACTCTCAAGGGAGGCATTTCGACATAAGAGTGTATCCGAAAATTCTCCGTCGAATTTGCCCCGCCTCCGAATTGCATCCAAGGCGGTTCTCAGCGAGCTGTCTTCCCCCTCAATCACATCGGAGATGAGACCTCCTTGGAGACTGCCCTCGCTTACCCAAGAAAAGCCTCCATCTTCACTGCTCACTGTTCCCCGAAAGAGAAGGAGGATCCAAGCCAGCGCGAAAAGTTCCTCGTGTCTTATATCCGGCAGCATTGGTAGGGCCATACAGTCGGACCAGCCAACATCCTGTGGCTTCAATTCTTTGCTGACCCAAGGGGTCGCACTGGGCTCGATGTATTCACCCATATTCTTGGAAAATAGCAATATCAAGAAAGTGTCTCTAGGGCTTCTCCGGGGACTACGAAGCAACGATCTGATTAAATTATCTGATGCTGATCTTCAGTAACGGACTTGGCATCCTGCGAGAAACCCCGTGCCTGCAGAACAGGGCCACAACGGGTAGAAACAATCCGAGCAGGTGCCGAACGGTCATTGCCAATATTGCAATGGAGCCCGTTAGAGTGGGGATACATATGTATCTGAGCCCATGTATGGTTATAACGCAAATTACTCTCCATACTATACTATACCATACCATACCATACACTAACGCCAAGGGTCCACGCTAAGCACTGCCACCCTGGACCCACCTTGGCACTAAAAACCTTACTGCAGAGCCATGGCAGTCATAATTCGAAACTTTCGATATTTTCTTTGGTGGAAGATTGTCATCAATATGACGATCATCCTCTTCAATCTTACCATTGTCGCAAGTTTCCGCCTCGATCAATTACGTTGATTGCGACATCGGATATCCGTCGATTCATCACATTGGTGATTTCTGAACCAGCTTTGGAAATTCTCGTTTTAACCATGTATGGGAGGCTAGATCGACTTCCCCCTGTTGTTACTAGTCTGCGCCAAGTAGCAATACTGAGATACACGGATGGTCCTTTGTAGCAGCCAAGGTCTCTGGTGGACATAGACAAGGATGATCAATTCCCTACATCGCATGAAGAAATTCCCCGAGCCGGAATAAACCGAGGATGAGGTGGTCAATGCCGACATTGTATATCTGATTACTTATTCCCTCGTGCATCTCCTCTGAGTTAGTAGCATTGTCACGTCATGTCTTTGAGTTCTCTCCCCCTGGTGCGGCTACCGGAGCCATACAAGACAACCTATGAATTGCATGTCGTATCCACCGAGAAAAACCTCCGCAAGTTTCAGCTACTGAGATCTCCTCGCGGGGATGAAGGCATACCACCCCCAAAGCCATTGGACCATGCGTCGTTGAGATTCACAGATCTGTCCCAGCCCGATTCTTCTTTCACACCAGACGAAGGAAACAACTCACCCTGGGCTCGCGCACAGAGAAGTCCAGTTACCTATATCTCATGGGAAAGCTCGGAGGCACCAACAGTGGGACAGATCTGGAATTTGGTCTATGCTATCGAGACCTTGCACAGCGAGTTCGAGATATTCCGTGCCGTACTGTCTGGCGGTGGGAGTGATATACTTGCACACGAGCTACAGGCTGTGGGCTTGGCCATTGCGCACCCCGAACCATCTGCTGCGCCAGGGAAGCCCATCCCAGTCACCACTAGCCATCTCGGACAGCTGGTCTTTTCCCGCAGTAGCTTCTGGCAAGGAGCTGGCTCACCCTTCGGTACCCGCCCAGCCTGGGTTGCTGACCCGGGCATTTACAGCTATATGAGAAAGCCGTTGAGCAACTACCCTTCCCGACCCCGCCAACACACAGTCACCACTGGTTTCCCCGAGCGTCGAGTACATGCCCTTCACCCGGTACGGCCACCAAAGCCATCCCCCGGCTCTCGCATCTACAGCCGCTACATTCCACACTTGAACGAATTTTTCTCGGTCTATGCACTAGACTACACAAACGACGAACATCTGGGGCTTTTCAATAAGTGGCAGAATGACCCTCGAGTGGCTCAGGGGTGGAACGAGACTGGTACTTTGGACCAACATCGTGAATACTTGCGCAAAATCCAGGATGATCCCCATCAGATCGCTGTGCTGGCCAAGTTCAACGATACTTTCTTTTCCTATCATGAGATATACTGGACAAAGGTATGGTTTCTATTTTCTCCAGCAACCCGACTATGGCTAATTTAAATTACAGGAGGACCATCTTGGTGCGTATTACGATGCTGGTGACTGGGACAGAGGCCGCCATTCGCTAGTCGGTGATGAGCGTTTCCGGGGCCCGCACCGCACGATTGCGTGGTGGTCTGGATTGATGCATTACATCTTCCTGGATGATCCACGTACGGAGTTTGTGACTGGAGAGCCAAAATACTCGAATCTCGCCCCTCTGACCTACGACCATGCTACGGGCATGAACCTAGCCAAGCTGGTCGATCTGCCACATAAACGGTCGGCGCTCATCCTTGGTAGCAGGGAAAAATTCTTCCATGTAGCACCCCTACGATTTGACGGGTCTGATACTCTCGATCGCAATCCATTCCGCTCATTGAAGTTGTGATAGTCGGAAAATGTGAAATAAGATGTGATTGTATTATGCATATTATGGACTTGTGAGCAAGACTTCAGACGTATACCGAGGCAGATTCGTACGTAAGCCTTTAATCCACAATTACCTAGGTAGCAATGAAGCCAAGCAGATCCTCTTCACGACAGTAAACAAAGCGTAATCTAATCAGATTCGGGATGTCCCCGGGACCCCTGGGACCCGATATTTTGAGTTTGACAGTTGTAATTTTCCCCATTTACCCTAAAAAGTAAAGTTCGCAACAGCAGCCAAGCAGGTCTCCGGGGTTAACATTCCGGAATAGAACACATATGTATTGGGATCGGCGTATCCTAAGAAATTGGCAAACCTTCCCAAGAGAAGCCTTCGCTCGGACGAAGGGCATACGGCATTCTTGGCCCAGCCCCGAGCCCACCCCAGGCCCACCCCCAAGAACCTCCAAGCCCAAAACAAAAAAAACAACAAATACATACTCTTGGCTCTTGCCGGTTTTATTTACTAGTCGATCTGATAAAGGGTTCAATATTACGTATTGTCCGACGTCGGCTTTTCACTGTAAATTCTTGGTAATCGGGTCATTCGGCGAGTGGAGTGCATGGCTTTCTGCCATTGCACTTACTTTCGGGATAAAATAGCAAATGATCTTCCTAATGTTCTCATCTATTCACGCCGATAGATAGATTTTTTATTATGGCTGCCGAAGATGCACCAGCGCAGAAGCGCAGCGTATGTCACCCCTGAATGCTTAGGTTTACTCAAGCTAATATCGTCACAGTGGAGGGAGAAAGCTGTCTTCTTTCGCCTGTTTGTCTATGGCGAGCCTAGCAGATCAGATATTGCCCTCCTTATCCTGGGCCTTGTCTCCGCAATTGCCTCCGGAATTCCTTTTCCGATCATGTCGATTGTGTTCGGTCAATTGGTGGATGAGATGAACTCGACGACCTGCAACGCCAACGACACCAATGGCGACTCATACCAAGATAGTATTAACAAGAAAGTCTTGTTGATTGTCTACATCGGCATTGCCTACCTCTTTTTGATTTATATCTATGTGTTTAGCTGGAATCTGACTGGTGAGCGACTGGCTCAGCGCCTGCGTGAGAAATATTTCAAAGCCCTTCTCCGCCAAGATGTGGCCTTCTTCGACAATCTCCCAGCTGGAGAGGCATCCTCGAGAATTACTGGTGATATTACCACCGTGCAGCAGGGAACATCTGAAAAGGTCGGAATCGTGATCAACAGTCTTGCCTTTTTCGTCACCGCGTACATCGTGGCTTTCATCAAGGATCCCAAGTTGGCTGGAATGTTGGTCTCCTTGACTCCGGCCTACTTGATCATGTCTCTGTTGGGAGGATATTTTGTGCAAAAGTACTTTGGTCGCGCACTGGAAAGCATGACCAAGGCATCCTCGGTAGCACTGGAGGCATTTTCCAACACAATGGTTGTTCATGCTTTCTCGGCCAACGCGCGGCTCGAGGAAAAGTTTATCGAGTTTTTGAACCCGTCCAGGATTGCTGGAATTCGCAAATCAATTGCCGCGGCCACCCAGGCTGGTTTGCTTTACTTTATTGCTTTCTCGGCCAATGCACTCGCCTTTTGGCAGGGGTCAAGGCAGATTGCGGACTCAGTAGAGTCCGATGCTGGTGGCATCACCGTCGGGGCAACATATACTGTGATTTTTATTCTAGTCGATGGTAAGCATCTCTATCCGTGAATTTGGTTGACCACTTGCTGACTACTTCTATCTATCAGCGTCCTTGATCCTCAGCACAGTCGCACCTTTCATCCAAAGCTTCGACGCTGCTTCGGTTGCCTTTTCAAAATTGAAGGCTGATATAGAGCACTCATCCACAATTGATGGCACTTCGAAGGATGGAGAAGTATTGGCGGAGGTCAAGGGCCATATTGAGCTGCGCGACGTTTCATTCCGTTTCCCTTCTCGTCCAGATAAACCAGTCCTTCAGAATCTATCCCTTTCCTGCCCTGCCGGTCAACAAACTGCCATCGTCGGCTTGTCTGGGAGTGGAAAATCCACTGTTGCCGGGCTAGCAACAAGATTCTACGATGCGACCGAAGGAACCGTTTTGTTGGATGGGCATGATGTCAAAGACCTGAATGTACGTGCATTGAGGAGCAATATTAGCCTTGTCCAGCAAGAGCCTTGTCTTCTCGATCGATCAATTTTTGAGAACATTGCCATGGGCCTGATCAATTCCCCTGCACACACTCATCTTCAACCGATTCTGACTGGCACTGCGCTGGTTGAAATTGCTGCCGCTGCAAGGGAGGGACAATCTCTTGCTTCCGCCTCTCTTGAACACGGTGATCAGGCACAAGAGGTGGTAAGACTGGTCGAAGATGCTTCCAAATTGGCTGATGCCAACAAGTTCATTGAAAAGCTCCAAGAAGGTTACGGTACTTCAGTTGGTTCCAGTGGGAACCTGATCAGTGGCGGACAGAAGCAACGTATCTCTTTGGCCCGGGCCTTGGTGAAAGATCCCCGAATTCTCATCCTCGATGAAGCCACAGCATCTTTGGACTCGGCGACAGAAATGCGCATACAGAGAGCCTTGGAGACCGTGGCCGTGGGCCGAACTGTCATTACCATTGCGCATCGTCTATCTACCATCAGGAACGCGGACAATATCATCGTCATGAGACAAGGAAAGCTTGTTGAACAAGGCACTCATACGGAGCTACAGGCAGCCAATGGTGCTTACGCAGAGCTGATTCGCCTTCAGAATCTCAATGTTGACAACGCTCATGAGGGAACATCCACCCGATCGGTGTCGCCTGTCAATCAAATCACAGAAAAGGTTGAACCCTGTCTTTCCGTGGCCGATGAAATCCCCGATAAAGATGAGACGATCGATACTTCTATTGCCCAAGACTCCAAGTCCAAAGAAACCGGCGGTGTTGTCGACTCACACAGGTCATTTTCCTCAACAGTCAGCTCCCTGGGCTCTATGTTCCGACCGTATGCACTTGTTCTGTTCCCTGCCGTGACCGGCGCCATTGTCATTGGCGGCACATACTGTGCTTCGGCAGTGATCTTTGGTAATGTCGTGAGTAAGCTGAGTGGCTGTGAGGAGCCTCAGAATATCCGCGATGCTGGAGAGTTCTATGGGCTTATGTTCTTTGTCCTCGCTATCATTGAATTCTTTGCAAATTTGGTCAGCTGGTCTCTCTTCGGTTGGATGGCAGAGAATGTGATCTACAAAGTGCGAGTTCTTTCACTGCGATCTATCCTCGAGCAAGACCTCCAATGGCACGAATCCAATGACCGCAACCCATCGTTGCTACTTTCCTTGATAACCAAGGACAGCAATGCTCTTGCAGGCCTGACTGGCTCCGTTGTGTGTACAATGTTGTCTATTCTCATCAACCTATTCGCCGCTATCATTATGTCGCACATTATCGCGTGGCGAATTGCCCTTGTTTGTCTTGCTGTGGTACCTTTGCTCCTGGCCGCTGGCTGGATGCGAGTTACCTCACTAGCACAGTTTGAAGAGCGCCACTTGGAGGCTTTTGCTCGGTCGGTGGGAATTACAGTGGAGGCTGTCAACTCCATCAAGACCGTCATGTCTCTCTCTGTGGAAGAAGAGATTATGGGAACATACCGTCGTTCGTTGGCGGCACCCATGAAAGAGATAACCCGCCAAAGTGCCTGGGCCAATATTTGGCTTGCCATCGGGTACGGTCTCAGCAACTTCCTATACGGCCTCGCTTATTGGTGGGGAGCGAAAAACATCATTGCAGGATATTATTCTCAGACGCAGTTCTTCATTGTCCAGCTAGCGCTGCTTGTCAGTTCACAGCTGTGGGGACAGATGTTTGCCCTAGCCCCCGATGTATCGCGAGCCTTCCAGGCCACCCGCCGATTGTTAAATCTGCTTGACCTTGGAACCACGAAGAAACTGTCAGCCCCTATCCGAACACTGCCTAGCAAGCTTTTGCAGTCTACGAGTGACGTCGAGTCCACGGCAGTCACCCGCGAGAAACTCGAAGACACTCGCAATGGCATCAGCGTCTCCTTCAAACAGGTCCGTTTTGCGTATCCCGCACGGCCAGATGCCCTTGTGCTTCATGGTTTGGATCTGAATGTCAAGCCAGGTCAGTTTGCCGCTTTGGTCGGACCTAGTGGTGCTGGAAAATCCACCATCATTTCACTTGTCGAGCGCCTCTATTCCCCCGCATCAGGCACCATTCATGTTGATGGCCGAGACGTTGCCTACGGTGACATTTCCTTCCGTGACTCCATTGCATATGTACCACAACAAAGTATTTTGTTCGAAGGAACTATTCGCTTCAACCTTGCTCTTGGCGCACGACCTGGCCACGAAGTTACGCAAGAGGAGTTGGACGAAGCTTGTCAATTAGCCAATATTTACGACGTCATTACGCAGCTTCCGGACGGATACGATACACACTGCGGGCCAAATGGTGATCGCCTGTCCGGAGGTCAAAAGCAGCGGCTGGCTATTGCACGGGCGCTGATCCGAAAGCCGAAGCTGTTGCTCCTAGACGAGTCGACCAGTGCTTTGGACGCTGAGTCTGAGCGATTGCTTCAGGATGGATTGGAGAAGGCAACCAAGAACATGACAGTGATAGCGATTGCTCATCGTTTGTACACGATCCGTAAGGCGGACGTGATTTTCTTGATTGAGGATGGGCGTTGTGTTGAGCAAGGCACTCACGCCCAGCTGGTCGAGAGGAGCGAGACCTATAGGGTCAATGCCTTGAACCAGACAGTGGATGGTGAATAGAAAAAGGTAGATAGCTGGGGTTCTCTTCTAGTTTTGTTGATATAGATCTATATTGTTTAATCTCATTCTCTTATGATAGACAATCAATCCCCTACTACATGTGAAGATAAAAGAGAAACGTACTTGCTGTCCTTGCCGTACTTCACTTTCGCTCCTTCCCCGAGCTACGTCGAGAATAAGCGAGAGAGCGACCATTCGCATAGTTCACAAGAAGGACAGGTACAAGACGACAGGGCACATAGATAGCTTTCCTTTTTCCTCACTCTCTTGTACTTGTATTTAGATTGAAATGCACTCTTTTCTTCTGAATCTATCTGGCAGGTAACACTATATATCGTTTCGTGACTTTTCTATCGGCTTGAATCATTACTCGGTAGCTTCTCCCAAACGCATCCATTTCCAACAAACTGCTTTTATTAGCTCAATAAATCTGGGTGGGAGCTCCTCAACTTACTTTCATATCCTAGATCGTCATTGAAGAACATGTTACGGACCTCGTCGCCCGAGGACAGTCCCATGGCCGGGAAGTACCCAACGGCGGTTTTTCCAAGGGCCAAAGCCATCATCGGGGCTACCTCAACCAACTCCACGAATTTGGGTTCTGTATTGTACCGCTCCGCTAACATCTGCTGGTGGATATTGACAGCTGCGAAGTGCGCCTGGTGCATCGCCGCTCCACCGCGCTTAATACCAGACCAGGATGCAATATCACCGGCAGCGTAGTGATATTTCTTGTTGGGGACATCTGCGGAAAACTGAAGACCGGGCGTGATTTGGACATATCCTTCAGGATCGCAGGCATCCTTGGGAAGGTATGACGATGTTGGCGTGAACCGTGACACGGCATTGATTACATGGTCGGCAACGAGCTCTCGACCATCTGAGAGCTTGAGCGTGTATTTCGCCGGAGAAGATTCGCTACCGAGAACTGTATCCTGGACGCGTGCTCCCAAAACCACTTCGACCTTGGACTCTTTTAGCATTTCAAGTGCCTTTGCTTTGAAATCATCAGGGAGGTCCTCAGAGGAGAGTAGCTGTTGCCGAGAGTGAACGAGTGTCACCTTTGCCTGAGGTTGGAGCATCTTGATCTCGGCGGCGATCTCAATACCGACAGCCCCTGCGACAGACAAATCAATTAGTATTACTCAGATGAAAGAAGATGGCGCCACGTACCGCCTCCGATAATAACCACGCCTTCCGCAGCTTTCTCGATAGTCTGCACAGAGTCTGCAGTTTCGGCAAGATATGCCTCCCGAGTCAAAGACTTAGGCGCACTAGGCCACTCTCTTCGCAAGCCCGAACACGCAATCATGTAGTCGTATTTTTCTTCGACAATCTTGTGCCCGTCATTTGCAGTATTTTGATGGATACGCGCAATTCGGGACTTGCAGTCTATCGAGTCTACTCGTCCTTGGATGTGATTGATATCGGGGGACTGGAGAGCGGGGATATCCTCGAACTTTTTCCAGAATGTGCTAGCATCAGCGTTGGAAGCTATGGCCAAGGGCAGTCCGATCAGATGGTCTAAAATAATTATGTCAGTGACGTGCTTTCAGATCCCAACACGATACACATACAATATCCATCGCGCTCATCCACAATGGTTACTTGCACAGGAATCGTGTTCCCCGGGCCCTGGTCATTCTCATCCAGGCTGAATCGGCATTTCCGTCCATGACAAAGGTCAACGAGGTTCAGAGTCGCGGCCAAACCGGAATAAGACCCTCCGACAATGAGAACCTTGAAGGGGGGCTGTTCCTCGAGACTAGGCATAGCGGCGATCAGTATAATGAGCTTTGGGGTAATAGAGGAGAAGTTTCGGGGATGGGGGAAAGAAAAGAAGTCAAACTAGCCGGCAAATCGACCCGAGCAACTGATCGGACCAACATGACTAGGTCAAATGTCTCAATACCCGACCCCGGAGGAAATACAGCCCCAATTACGCATGTATGTAACTTTAAATTTCAGTGCAACCTTGTCTTATCAGATCCGACTTCGGGAGTCTTGGCACCAGGAAACTTATAATTTGTTGAATACAGATGCACTTGATACTACTCCGTGTACACTGCTACATTCTTCGACTATTTCCGATTCCTCAATAAACCATACATTCTTTTCTGTATTCAATATGGGCTTCGTTGTTGTCCCCGCCACTCTTCCCGATATCCGGGCCATCTACGATGTCTGGTTTGCGGCTTTCAAAGGCCAATTGATCCTAGACCTCATCTATCCAGGAACTGATCTCAACGATGAGGCTTTCCGCAAGGTCCACACAGAAGGGACTCTGGAATATTGGAAAGGATTGAGCATGGAGCACACTTTTCAATGCATTGACACCGACACCGGTAAAATCGCCGGCATGGCAACCTGGCAAGTCTACTGGCGGGAAAGGACCGCTGAAGAGCGTCAGAAGCCCTGGATTGGATGGTTGGAGGGTGACCAACGAGAGCGTGCCGAAGGGTTTTTGGGACAGCTTTGGGAGAAGAGGGAGAAGTGGATTGGCCCCAAGAGGCATGTGTGTGAGTGGTCACCGATCCTTATATTGAAAAAACATTGAAAATGACCCTATGCTGACCGGAGATAGACTGCCACACCGTTGCAGTGCATCCCGAATACCAAGGTAAAGGTGTCGGGGCACGGCTTATGCAATGGGGAATGAGCGTTGCGGAGCAGCTGAATGTACCGATTTACCTTGAGTCGACGGTGGAGGGAGTCCCGTTGTATCAAAAACTTGGCTTCCAAACTCTCTCGGAGGACATCCTATTCAAGCCTGAAATTACCAGGGTCGACAAGGAGGTTCGAGCACCACTCATGGTGAAAATGCCCATAGCTGCGGGAAACATGACATTTGAGGAATGGGTGGAGGACAAGAGTCCCTCTGTGAAAGCTACATAGGTATCTACATATTCTTTTAGATGTTCAATGCACATAGATGCCACATGCCGTATTGCATGCCAAGATCTTATTTTTCGACGCCAAGAGAACCTCTCATGTGGTGAGAACACTGTAGACATACCTTCCTTAGCCTACGGTGTGTAAAATGTGTCTCGGAACCTAAGTTTCCCGAATGAGCGAGAACTCCGACCAGTTCCGGAGTAATCAGATGGTAAAACTGGCCATCCCTTTTCCATTAGTCTTGGTAAGGAGCCTAGAAATTACTCGGAGGCCCAAGCGGAGACGGACAGCCAAAGCCAAGACTTGGCGTATTCTTGGTTATTAAATGTCCACGGGTGTGGAAACCTTTTATCAATCTAATTATTATTGAGTCAAAAATGACAACAGGGGTACTCTTTTGTGCGGCCGTCATTCCCTGACTTCAACTGAAATTTATCGTATTTATTCAATAGCAGTTTTTACATCCATGTGGGCTAGAACATTACTGTGGAGATAATAAAGGGTCTGTACATCTTCAAGGGATTAAGGGATTGGACCTCCAAGGAACATGTTATGAAGTCGTAACATACGGAGTACTCCGTACTATAAGCGAACTCCACCAGGACCACCTCGGCAAGTGTCGATCAGTCCCTGGCGTGGCGTGGCGTGGCGTGCATTAACTTTTACTGATACCGCGAAATACCTGTGATACCAAGCGGACCCCTGTATCGTACGGAAATATCAATGTGGGGCCGCTGATCTTATCTGATCAAGGATTATCAGATGGCCCACAAACCCGTCTGTATACCCATGGACCTAGACTACCAACCTGAATTCTTCAGTTCTCTAGGCGATCTTAATAACGTGTCAGCAGACATTAAATCACTCATATCAGAGAGTGAATGGGCTGGCCGATATCGGCTGGACGCGGGGATTTCTGAATAATTCTAGTGATATATTTATTTGAGTTTGAAAAGAAGCAGCATTTCCCTCTTTCAGGAAAGTTGACTTTGCCATGCGTCTTTCTTCCGCCTTTGCCGCCCTTTGCGGGCTCCAAGCGACCCTTGTCGTTGCTGAGAACACCACTTGGCCCTGGCGAACCTTCAAGTCCAGCCCTCACCAGCCTCCAAGTCTCCAAATCTCCAAATCCGGACCTACCAGCCCCGGATACCTCTTCTTTGACCAATCATGGAACGCACATCAGTACGGTGTGTTCATAATGTCGGACAGTAATGAGCTTGTTTGGCAAAGCCCGCCCGGTGATCTACAGGATTTCCGAGTACAGAAGCTGGATGGGAAGCCTGTCCTGACGTACTTCAACGGCCTTGGAGTCCCAGAGCCGTTCGGATGGGGATACGGCATTGTTCAAGTCTTGGACGAGTCCTATCGAAGTATCTATAATGTCTCTGTGACAAACGACAACTACAAGGCCTTGGGCAGCATTGACAGCTCCTCTTTCGTATCATGGATTGACATCCACGAGAATACAATGACGTCTGATGGGACAATGCTGGTCACCGGCTACAATGTCACCCAGGCTGATCTCAGTTCTGTGGGAGGCCCCAAGAACGGTTGGATCGCTGACTCGCTCTTCTACGAGATCGACGTCAAGACCAATGAGATACTTTTCCGTTGGAGTGCCCTCGACCATATCAATCAGATTCCCTTGGAACATGTACAGCCATTCTACCCTGTTCGAGACTGGGGACACAACAGCAGCTCTCCCTACGGCTACTTTCATATCAACTCAGTGGACAAGTTTCAAGATGGAACGTACCTCATTTCTTCTCGTTACTACTGTTCGCTGTTCAAGATCGCGAAGGATGGATCGGTGGACTGGACGCTACAGGTAAATACCGTCTCCTTCAAGTGTGTTAAATTGTGGCCCATATACTAATAACATACGATAGGGTCAAGGTGGCGGCGACTTTGAACTCAAGGGAATCAAATTCAGTTACCAACACGACGCCCGCATTCGTGACGAGACTGAAAATGCACTCATTCTTAGCATTTTTGACAATTCCAACTCCGATGTCCAGAACGGGACTGATCACACCGAAGGCATATTTATGAGCGTCAATCTGGCCACTCGCGAGGTCTCCCCTGTCCGAACTCTGCACGATCAACGCGATGAGATCTTTTCGACTTCTCAAGGAAACACACAATTACTACCTGCAAATCACGTTGTGATGGGCTACGGATCAAATCCTAAAATCAAGGAGTATAATGCCAACGGTTCTTGTATCATGACTGCCCAGTTTGGATTCGATGGTGTCGTTTCAAGTTACCGAGCCTATCGCTCCCCCTGGGTCGGCGTTCCCGCAACTCCCCCCGATGTATTCTCTTGTATTGAGAAAAGCAGCAACAAGACCAATGTTTATATGAGTTGGAACGGAGCCACTGAGCATCAACAGTGGAAGGTTTTTGGGGGCGCTACTCGTTCAGAACTGAGTCCGGTCGCGATGGCACGAAAGACAGGATTTGAGACCGTGGCGAGCATCAAAGGATATCTTGGATATGTCCGAGTGGAAGCTCACGGCCTGGGGATCCAGAAAGGCGTTTCCAAAATTGTACCCGTGCAGAGTCAGTGTTAGGTTTCGCATATGATTGCAATATCTTGTAATTTTAGTGATAATAGACAATGAAAACGTGGACTATACCAGTCTTTCTAGAGTACCATTTTCAGCTTTTATGAGAGAGCAAACTTCTACATACTTGAATAGTGCTTACTTTAGGTGTGATCCTACTCGATTACAAGCTCCTAATCATTTAGAGATTGTCTTGAGCGAGCCAAAATTTAGAAAATGATGATGTACTCTTCTTCGGTTCTAGATGGTTGGTATTAATCGCATGACACCCAACTAATTAGAAACATTACTACCTACCACTGCACTAACTTCAATCTGACCCCCATAAACTTCATCTGCCGACTTCACACTTCTCTATCAACAGCATATCAACTTAAATAACGCGGCCCCTGACCTGCTTAAGATCCTTTATCTTGATATCTCTCCACATCCCAGCACATCCCCAGGCAACTACCAGCAGACAAACACTGGTCACCAGCATATATCGCTGCGCATCTCCATAGGCGTGAGCAATAGCATTCCGAGTTGAGCTTCCCCACGGATACGACAGCTGGGCCGTGATATCGGAATAAACCGTTGCCATATTCACATCTGCTGGCAGGTATTTGGTCAGCGCCTTCGGGAATTGACTGGTCCAGGTAGCAGCAGACACAGTTGATCCAATTGCACTGCCGATGCTACCGAATAGATCCAGCATAGCAAGGACAACAGCAATGTGCTGGTGATCGGAAGGCGCCATCATAGCAAGCTCGCCGCAAATAACAGTGGTTCCACCAGCCACGGCAACAAAGATTTGCGTCATGCAAATATACCCAATATTCGTATCGGGCTGACGGAATTTGATCATCAGCCCAACGCCTAGTATCATAAGCGGGAAGGAGAAGTAAACGGCCAGCCATTTGAAGCGACCAGTCCAGCGGATCAGGAAGCCGACGAGGAGACAAAAGAGACAGGAACCGACTCTGTAAATGGCTGAGACATAACTGGCTTCTGTGACATCCAGACCCCAAACAACCTGGAGCATTGATGTGAAATAACTACCCCAGACCATTGAGTTGAAAAACTCAAAGACGAACATTAACCCTCCGAAGAAGACGGTTCGGTCCATCAGTAAATTGAATGGGATGAAGGTCACTGGAGCCCAGAATCGCTCGTAGACGGCGAACAAGATGAGCAAAAGGCCTCCAAAAACGATCATGCAGATAATCATTGCTGACCGCCATTGATCCTTTTGGTAAGACCAGAGGCTGAATGGAAGAAGGAACAAGGCCATTCCTCCTGCCAGAAGAATGATTCCAATCAAGTCGATCTCTATGCAGTATTTCTTCAATGAAGCAAAGGTGACATGGCCATGGCTGGACGCGAGCAAGCCCATCTTCTTAGCCTTTCGCTGATTCCAGAAGAACAGAAGACACAGAGGTGCCACCACAACCGGAACGATAATAGTGAAGATTCCGAATCCCCATCGCCAGCCAGGGCCTCCGAGGACACTCTGGGAGATTGGACCTCCGATCCAAGTGGTGATGACGTATGGCGAAGTTGCAAAAGATAACATGAGGGCTCGATTCTTCAATGCAGAGGTGTCTGAGATGAAAACTGTCAAACAATAGCTGACTCCTTGGGATCTAGAAGTTGTTGCAGTTAGCTAGGCTGTTCGAAAGACAGATATTTCCCAAATGGTTATCATAATTCATACCCCACGGATGAGAAAACCTGCGCAGCTGCGTATGTCTCAACGTTGTTGCATGCCGCCATCATGATGAATCCCACAACCCAAATGATCAGCATCAAACTCATACCCTGAGGTCGACCCCACGAGTCCAGAATCTTTGCCAATGGAATTTTACTCAAGCCTCCAATGATATTGGCCATGATACTCGTGGCAGCCGTCAAAGAATGGAGCCTAAAGGCACTGGTCACGTATGGGTTCAGAGAACGGATGACGACCTCCTGGATGGAGGTAACAAAGTAGATAAACCATATGCTTCACACGTAAAATTCAGTGATTTGAATGAATATAAACATTGGATCATGGAGAGATTCTCACATCACATATGCCAAGATCATATGAGACTTAGTCCACACGGCCGCAGTGGCCTGAACACCTTTCACACCAGCCTGAGCCTCTTGATCAAGAGAGTCCTGGTCGGAGCTGCCATGATCCTCAGCGGTATCTTTCGGTGTGTGGGCTGTCTCTGGCGCTTTCTCGGAGGGATAGAGGACTTCAGAGCCCATCTCGCGAGCGATCTCCGTTTCTTTCGATGCCATGGCGAAAGACTCTACGGTTCGAATACTAAACTGGCTAAAAATCGCCGATCAGTGGGATATATATATACCCTGGCATATCAGACATGCATTATCCGATATCGGTAATAGGAAAGAATCTGCACCAATGAGTGTGTTGACTCAAGGAAAGTGTCCGGTAAGTAATAATTTCCATTGCCACTAGGGAGATTAGTTGAGGCCGAGCCCCTTGGCGCGCCTAAGCGTCGAGAAGATGGGTCCATAACCATCCCTGTAGGCTTCCTCGGCCCAATAAACTATGTCCTCGTGCTCGAGTATTTCTGATGCCACTCCGGGACTATTCGATTAGCCCATCCTAGACTAGTTTCTTCTTACCTCTTGCCCTATTCAGAAGACATCTCCGGTCAAACCATTCTCGAGGGTGGCGCTTTTCTTCCTTGTCGTTGTCTATGGTCCTAGTGGTATTTTTTGTTTTGCGGTATTAGAAAAAAATAAACTTAAATTACAAACGCGTATTTGAGCTTTACAGCATTTTCCGTAGTACTTTTGCCCTATCTCTCCATTAAACCATTTCGCGTGTTGCGCTTCATGTGAATATCTCTAGAGTAAACTTCTTTTCTTGTCGGATGTTGATTTCCTATTTGAGCTGGCGTTCCTTTCACATCCCCGAAGCTGCAGCCTTGGTTCAGCAACTCTCAACATATCAATATCAACATATCAATATCAAGCTGAGAAGAGACTCGCTAGCGTACTGGAGGAGTCATTGCATGCCCTGTTAGAAACTCAGTCCAAGGATGCTTTGAGTAACGAGCCTGAGTTGTCGAGGAGTGTGTCTAGGCTAACAATATTTCGTTTCATGAGTTGCTGATTCTCCACAAGTGTCTCACTTTTGCTAAAGTCCCTAGTATTATAATGATTTTGTGTTCCTTTTCCGTAAAACCGGATTTCATATCCTGTAATGAAATCTACCGATACATGCTTCCCATATACCTACTCCAAACACTAGAACACTAGAGGCCTCTAGCTTCCGACGCATCCTAGTTTTACGAAAACGAGCCCAGGAACGAGGGTCGAGCAAGGCCTTTATCTGTCACCTGCACAGATAAAACTCACTCAAATTTAGTGGTGTCTGTCTTGAATTCCGATACTACACTCCGAGGACTTCCCCAAGAACTACTCGCCCATGCAGTAGTGAATATTGCCATTGTGCATTGTATATTGAAGAGGGTTATTTGGAAGTCGTGGTTTTGATTTCGACAGTAGGCTTTACCTGTGGCTCGATTTTGGAAACAAATCCATCTGGGAATTCGGTATTCTTGTAATGCAGCTTCACTTTTTTTCAGCTGAAGGATATGGTTCCAGCCGAATCTATAGCCAATATCTGAGAGGAAAGCCCATACGATACCAGATTTCGCCGCCAGCGTAGAATCATACGACCGAAAGCGTCGAAAGCCTCTCGAATCCGATCCTTTTGAAACATAACCAGCAAGACAATCGTAATAATCTCTGCCATCAGCGGGGTGGAGAAAGCCCAAAAAAAGCGTCGAGGAGCTGTTCATATTACGGATATCAATATGTTCATACCGAGATAGCTAGTCACAAACGATAACGGCATAAACACCATAGTCACGATAGTGAAAACAACGATGGCTTTTCCCTGAGTCTTTCTATCGCACGTCTACTCCGCTGCACGTCTGGTTGGCCCCAGGTCAGAACTTGCGTAAGTTTCTCGCCTCTTATGATAGGCCTTCACGATATGTGCGCCGGTCATGAGTCATGACCCTCATCAGCAGGTCCTGAAAGGCATCAATCAAACTCTCTATTAGCTGACACCCCATGCTGGGTCTGAGCTGCCCGTTTGCAAGCTTGTCATTCGACTCCTAATTACCATAGTATGAGGCAAAGTACCTTTTTAGGTGTAGTCGAGTAGACTGATGCTTCTGAACGGTCTCTAAGTCTAAGTAGTAATCGGTAAACGTTCACTGAGCGTTCACTGAACCTCATCAGTTATTGCATTCTATAATTCTCTTGCATGATCAACCTAATACATACGACCATAGGGTGTGGAAAACAGGGCTTCCCGTCCGCTCAGCCGTACTTAAGCCACACGCCGGTGAGTTAGTAGTTGGGTGGGTGACCACCAGCGAATCCTCACTGTTGTATGTTTTTTGTTTTTATCGTCTTTGCAGCAAACAATAAGGCTTTGAAGTCATGGAACTAAGGCATAAGAGGAAAAGAGTGAGATTCAAACACCAGATGTGCTTCGACCTAAAGTAAGCACAAATACCCTTGGCATATGCAGACAGCCCCAAATGAGGAAATTGATCCCTATCAATTCCTGGTTAATGCCCAACGGCATGCATGGGCATTTTGGAGGTCTTGTTTGACGCCTCGATTCGCGACCTAGTTACCCCACATAATCCTCAGTTCTGCTAACAGCCGTCTCATCGAGTTGCTATGCTTTGGTACATCAGGGAAACTCAACTTGCACACAATTCCTGCCGTCGGCTTGTCACGGATGGAGTCACCCAACTGGCCAACTTCGCACGAGAGCTTCGAACGTCGGGGTCCGGTATTATCGTGGAGGAAGACCTTGCTGCTATTTTTGAGCGAGGGCGGATTTCACCTGTGATCGAGAGTGAATTCAAGAAGAATGTCAACATCTAGAAGTTTACACTGCTATGTCATAGATCAGAGCTCGATTTGGAGGAGGGAATGGGGCCGAAAATACTGCGAGCATTCCAGGAGCGAAAGTACCTCGCGACCGTACCTACATTGTCGATGCTCGGTTGTTTATATTCCTCTCAAACCCTGGCGAGGATGATTTCGAAATCCATGACTATACGTTTCAAGGTGAAGGTTGCGGATGCCACGGCGGACCCGGGTTTGATGGTGTTATGAACAAGCTGGTGGCTTGTAACAGTCAGTCCACGGAATTCCAATGATCTATATACCGTGAGATAGTAGAAGACGAGCTACAGAAGTCCAAGTCCAAAAGACCATCTATATCCTTCAAAACCTCTTGGTAGGATATTCTGATGCACGTACACTATCTACGTAACTGAAAAGAGAGGAGTTATCATCCCATATGTATATGTGTAAGATTGATTGCTGATGATCTAGCTACTGCCATACCTTTCAAATAACTTCATGTGGACAAAGACACAAAGTGCTTCTGCTCTGGGATCCCGGGGAGACGTCTCTGCAAGATGCGAAAAGGGATCTACCGTACCACGCTCCTAGATATCTGGTAAGGAGGCTGCCAAAGAGAGACCTGCCTAGCTGCATAGGAGTACCCAACGCTCAAATGCATCAGATCACTCATATAAGGATCCCCCCAACAGGGAGTGCCATGTGGCCTAAGCCTACGATGAACTTCTCCAGCTATCTCCCAATCAACGAGGCCCACGATCTTGTCACTGTCAACTATACAGTGACACTTAGAAAAGTCGTTGTGCATGAAGCTTATATCCAGATCGGAAGAGGATCTCGCATTCTAGGGGTTGGATACGGCCATTTTGGCGAATCTTTGGGTCGGGCACGACGTAAGACCGAATCTGGTATCCATCGGTAGGCTTGACGGAGTGCAGCTGTCGAAGTATCTCCCGTGCTTGCTGTTTGAATGAGTCCCTTTGGGCTTGCGAAAGGTATTGCCATGCGATGGCTAATGAAACGTCTGGGAGTCTTTCCTGGACAATTATTGGGCCGCCATTAATCTAATGGGATTTAAGTACTATAGGCGCAATCAAGCAGCGAGAACAAGTACCTTGCCAGTAAAGTAAATATCGGGCACTCTAATATCTTTCAAGACATTCTTCGCAATAGCAATCGCCTGGATCTCATTGGTGCCAGCATACGAGTAGTCGATCTCTATATGCTCGGCACCTTGCCCGTGGAGGTGGCTCGACTTGACGATGATACTACCAAGAGCGAACACGTCACGACCACCTTCGTCAGCCGGATATATTCTAGCAGATTGGTCGCAAAGCCTGGTAACCGAAGCCCATTAATCCAATGAGTCTCTGGACTGATTTAAGAGGCCATTATCTGTTCTCTCGTTTTCAATCAGGTGCTCCGGGGAAGTTAGTCACCCTCTTTCGTCGGAGTTGTAATGTTCTTGGTGCTTCTGGGCATGTTATTTCATCTACTAGGACATGTGCTCTAAACGTGAGTCGACAGTTATATATATTTCCGACTAATCCTTGATAAATATCTCACTTTCATTGCCCAGAATGAAGAGATCTCTTTGTAGCATCTATAGGTCCATCTTCATCAATAGCTGGCATGATAGTTTAGTACTTTAAGCCATACTAACTTATTTGATCCTATTATCTACATCTACTATCCACATATTCGAAATGGCATCGAAATGTCCTCTCTGTCGTGAATGAGTTAAGACGAGCAGTGCTCCCCATCTTTGCCCAGTCGAGAAAATGCCGAACGCCGAGAAAAAGCTACCATCGATGTTGGTGGTCAAGCAACAGCAAGACGTTGTCGTTTTTCATGCTGTCCCGATCTGAGCTGTCAGACTATGTGAGTTGATACCCGCTGGAAATGACGTTGTGACCCTCATTAATGCTTCAAAATCCCAGATTCTCAACAGCTTGGTAATGCAACTAGAATATGCCACGCCCGAACAGAGAAAAATGAGAGCTTGCGAGTTAGCAGGGAGTGAACTTATCATTTTATCATTTTAGCCTTGTGGTGTCCTTGAGCCCTGTTATGTCATTAGTTGGAGGACGAAGACCCGTGGAGTGCCTGTCTGAGCAGAACTATTGTAGTCTGTAAATAGTACATAGGCAAGACAGTTTCATCACCTACTAAACTTGGTTGTCGAAATAATTAATTATATCACATAGTTAATTCAAGATAGTACTCATATCACTACAAGTAAATATATTCCAATCTGTCACGGATAACCCAGTGGAAGGCTCACCGCCATGCCAATTACCCTGCTTCGGCCGCCAAGGCCAGCAGGAAAGGTGCCTGGTACGAATCCCGGGGTTGGCATTTTCACTCGTGCGAGTAATCCACGACGCTGGAGGCCACTAAGCAATGGAAATGACACTTGAGGGAAGCAATTCTGCAGAGACATTTCCACCCCGGGATGGCGTCGCCAGATGACACCGTCCTGTTACAGGCAAATTGGCAATTTGGTGGGACAACTACTATTTTTTTTGCTTTTTCTTTATATACATGTATTGATTGTAGTTAGTTATATCTAGGTCTACTCAGTAATAATTATTGCCATGCCTCTTGAAGCTTCATTCTGGGAGATAAATTGAGAAACAAGTTAAACACGCTAATAATAGCATGGTAAAAATGTACAAGAACGTGAGAAATAAACATGAAAAGAAATGATAAGTGTTCATAAGACAAGAGAAACAAAATACTCAAACCAGTCCATCAAGGTGTCCCCATATGAGTCTCGTGCGATGCATGAACCGAAGTATTCTGCGTCTGCTCCAAGACCACAGCATAGAATTTGCCTTCTTCTGAAATATCACGGTAGGGACCTGCAGAGACAACGGCCCTGAAACAATGCCAATTAGCATATGACTTCACATTCTGATATCAGAAAACGCCCCCAAAAAGAGTGACAAAGAAAATAGAAAATAAAAACATACCATCCCTTATACTTCGGCTGATTGAAGATATCCGTAAACACCCTCAGCACTCGCAACGGCAACTCCAGCACAGAAGGCATCTCAGGCCCATCGCCACAAATGGGTAACCCCAGCTTGTTGACGGGGAGATAGATGGTCTCGGCGACGTTCTGCGGATTGCGCGTCTCCTGGAAGATGAGAAGGCGGCGCGAGGCGTGCGACGGCGGTCCGCCTGCTGGCGGTCTGGCGTTTGCGCTTGCGCTCATGCTCATCGCGAAGGCTTTTTGAGTGTGTAGAGTACGCAATAGGTTTTTGCGGAGGTCTGTGTTGGATTTTCTTTTTCTTGGACTTGGTGTTTGGAAGGATGGATTGTTCAGTTTGGCTGTTCCTTTTTTTTTTTTTGGTGTTGTCTTTTACCCGCTTGGACTTTTCTGCTGGGTCTCTGGCTTCGATGCTTAGAGGAAGCGCGTTTGCTTTCTGGGGTTATTAGTACGGTCTCTTTGCATGTAGTTCACCAAGGGCTTCTTACTATTTGTCGACAGTGGCGTGTAGAGGGCGCGACAGGCTTTGCTTATCGTTTGGCGATCAGTGTCCCGATTAGGAGATCGCGGGGCAAAAAGGGGGGGATTTCAGAGATAGTTGTATGTGGAAGATGAAGTAAGATGGAAGTTGAATGTCGACTGTTGGTTTTAAGAAGAAAAATAAGCCCAACAGAAGAGGGGGACTTAATGGGCGATATTATGATTGTTGTACCTACTGAACTAATAATCTCATACACAACATCATTGATCATGACATTAATTAGATTATTCCTATATTCTAGAGTCTAGTCTCCCGATGACCTAGGCACAATAAAATCAACAGCTAACAGAGAAAGAAAAAGAAAACGCTGGGTATCATGATAATGTGGCCGAAGAGAAATAAGCAAAATCAACAAAAGAAAGTCAATCCCTTAAACCAGGGATGAATCATGGTATATGGCATCATTCACTATGCAGCGAGATGAGAAGCGATATGATCAAATCAAGCATCAAGCTCTCCCTCTAGCACTCTGCGTGCAGCATCCAGACGACGCCGCAGCACCCGCGCAGCCTTTTCATCGGGGTCCGCAGAGCTCGTGATTGCCTGCAGATCCATACAGACTTTACCAAGGCTGGCGAACAGTGCTTCCAGCATCTGTGTGTCATCATCGTTGATGCCACCGACACTGGGGGTGCTGGATGCCGCGCGCACGGTGGAGACGAGGGACGAGACAAGAGAGGTCGGGGTTGCAGAACCGGCCGTGGCTGAGGATGAGCGGCCAGTATGCTTCTGAGGGGAAAGGTTGTTTGGGTCCAGTGAATTGGTGTGGTGCCGTGGTCCACGGGGTGTTTCGGAGCGGTCATTCTCAGCCTCGATCTCTTGGATTGGACTTGGCTGGTAGCTGTGGTGAGTATGAGATTGGGAATGGCTATGGCTATGTCCGTGTCGCAGCTCTGTCCAGGGATTAGTGTCGGAAACGTGAGGGGAAAAGAATCGCGGGAACGCACCATGGTTAAACCGTCGGTCCCAGTACATCACGCTGTCAACGTCATCCTCGTCATCGGGACGCTCGCCTTCGTTTGCGGTGGCGAAGGTTGCCACGGTCGAGACGGACATGTTGCTGTTGTTACGGGAGTGCCGCTTTGTGTATGCGGGCCGGGTTGTCTCCACTGATCCGTTCGAGCTGTTGCTTACTCGGCGGAGTTGCTGGGTGTAGTTGCCCAGTGCACTATGCAAGATGAAATGCTCATAGTCGAACGCATCCTCGCGCAGCTCGTGGGGCGTCGCGTCCGTGTGCGACGGCACGTTAGGGAAGACTTCCATGTCGCTTTCGAGGTCATCGTCAAGCGGTTCACGTAAGATCTCATCCAGAGCTTCGCGGTCAATTTCCTCATTAAAATCACCTTCTTCGGCATCTTCGTACATGGTCTCGGCGATAGATTGGTCATCGCCATAGTCAGGCTCATTGCCCTGCCAATTCTCGGCGTGCTTGGATGCATTTCCAGCAGCGTGCTCGGCGGATCTGCGTCGATCTTCCGCCGCTATCTCATTCGAGACATCCCGAGTGTTTTCAGAGCTGGCTTCACGTCGGGGATTGGAGCCACGACTGCTCTGGCCATCTCTGAGCTCCAGCGCATTCGCATACCAGTGATCGGCGGCCGTCAAGGGGCTGGGCGTTCGCAGGCTTTGCAAACTACGCCGGCGAAGATTGTCCTCCTGATTCTTCACCTTCAGAGAAGAGATTTTGATGTGAAGCCCCTTCATCTGATACTGGAGATCCCGCACCTGCAGTTGCGACTGCGCGCGGCTAGGGGGACCAAAGGAGCTGTAGACTGGACTGAAACCATCCGGGCTCGATTTCGATTCCTCCTCCGAGGAAATGCCCAAGCCATGTGGCGAGCCCGACGAACTGTCTTCGGTGAAAGCAGGCGATTGCGCCCCTTGGCCCTCCTTCTCCTCTTGCACATGTATCGGAGGCTGGGTAGAAGAAATCGATGATCGGTGCGTCAGATACGCCCTCGTAGGTGCATAGTGGAACGACCGATCATCAGTATGAAGACTGGACGAAGTGCTCGCGCCCATTGCACTGACAGAGCGCGAAACTTGCTTGTCATCATTCGAGAAGCTCGAATCCGACGGAACAATCGTCTCAGACTGACCCCTTGAATGACGATTATTCGTCGTATCCTGCGACGTAATAAACGACTGCCGTCGAAGCGAAAAGCTCTTAGGATCCGTGCGCGAAATCGACCGATATAGTACACCCACAGGCTGGTGCAAACCCATCGGCTGGATATAGCCCGAATTCGAGGGCGAGGGCGATGAGGGCGATGAGGTCGTCCGCGGCGTCGTCGACCGAGCTCGAGTGAGATTGTTCTCCATAAGCTGTGGATTCAAAGGATGTTAGTATTACTCCCTAGACAAGCGGCAAGCTGCGGCGCGTAAGAAAAGAAACCAACATACATTCAAGCGTTTCTTCGCATTCTCCAAAATCCTTTCCGCCTCGCTACTCAGTATCGCCGAGGAAAACTCCTCCCCGGGCCCCTTGCCCTCTGCAGCCGCAGACGCCACCGCGCTACTAGCAGGCACGGAAGAGCCCCCTGCAGTTCCAATGACCGCGGTAGCTTGCGCTCTCGCGACCTCGGGGTGAACGGGAGATTCGTCGCGTCCGTTTTGCGCCTCGGACACATCCCTGGAAGCGGAAGCGCGTCTGCTCCCCGCACTGATTGTGGAATTGGAGCTACTCCACTCCCTGTTTGGATCATCCTGCCCACGTAATAGCGGTGAGCTGGCTAGCTCTTGCTCATCCGAGTCGCCGAATCCCTCCAATCTGGCGGGCGAGAGCTCCTCGCCGATATCTGAGAGACGGCGACTGACATTCACGTCTTCGTGTGTCCATGCATGACGGGAAAAATTTTTCTTCTGTCGACTGGATGCCGACATGGAGGCATTGGGATCCGATTGGTTGCGGGAGTTGAAGTACGCGATTTGGGGTGGGGAAGGAGTTTGGGATTCGCGTTCGACTTCGTATGGTAGGATCATGTCCGGGTCTGTTAGAGTGAGTGAGGGCATGATTTCGCTCTCTCAGGCCCTGGGGCCTGGGGGGGTTTTCCGTGCAGAATTGGTAGAAAGAGAGAGAGGAAAAGGGTTGAAGTCGCAGAATCGTCCCGTAGACGGGTTGGGTACCGTTACAGTTAGTTTCTCCCCTTAGACAGTTTAGCGTGCCCTGATCATTGCCTTATTGGGATCTGTGAAGATATTCCCAATTTCCTGTCTCATACTCTCCGTCCGGAGTAAAAAATAGGGGATTAGGCTTCGACTACCCTTGCAATTGTCAATCGTGGTAGTTTAAGTAGTATTAGGTATAAAATAGTTAGCGGGTGATAGATCAGATCAATATTAGACTATATACGGAGTACGGAGGACACCGCGAGAACAATAGGCTTTCTCGGGTTATAATAATAAAATTACGTAGAAAAATGTCTATGCTTTAGTCTCTTTCTTTAATTAGGATTGTCTCCGACTGTTCGAGCCATACGGTGTAGTCAAAGAGACATGGCCTTGAGATGTGATGTATACCTATGCATACTCCGTATAGGATGCATTATTGCTGTAAGGATATGACACAGGCATTTTCTATAATTTTTAATTGATTGCACTATATACTCACAGTCAGCTGAGTATCTCCAAGGGTCCTTTGCTATGGTTAAAATAACAATGGAGGAACCCCTGAGATCGGCCAGCCATATGCCCAGGTGAGTCTAAGTTCCACACCGGTGGAGATTGTAATTTCAGGGACATCTCAACGTTCATTAGAGGAAAAAAGATATAAACGTTGAGAAAAATAAGAGAAAAGAGAAAAAAAATGTATGCTTTTTGTATACAACGTAATTACACATGCCATAATCCCGTAGAAACGCTTATATCTAGATCTTCGATAGCAACAACTTCGCACCACTGCTACTCGGGCTGGGCTTCTTCTTTCCATCCTTCTCCACGACTAACGCCGAGGCCTGCTCCAGCGCCTTCTTGTTCTTCTTCAGAGTCTTGAGCAGCTCGCTCTTCTTCTCAAAGTCCTCCGACTCAGCCAGCGCGACAATAACGAAGGGGTTAGCCCCCGTCGCCCAGTCTAGGATCTCATCCTGGATCTGCGCGTACAGCACATCGTGGAAGTTCAACGCAGGCTCCACTTTCTCGATAGACTTCGAGGCCGGGTTGAATCGTCCACCCTGCACAAGAGACTTGAGAAGACGTCCCGCGTGTGCGGTATCGCGGGCTTCGGTGTGCGACTTGGCGGCCTCGGCCACGGCCGCGAGAGCGGCGGTCTTGTCGCCGTCGGCTTCGAACAGCACCTCGGAGAGGAACTGGCAGCCGAAGGTCGTCTCGAGGAGGGTAGAGGCGCGGGCAGCGATGAATTCGAGCAGTGTTGGCGAGGCGGCCTTGACGAGTTCCTGGCGGCGCATGGCCGGGTCTTTCTTCGAGGTTTCCTTGCGGACCTCGCGGACTTCTTCAAGGACCGTTTGGTCGGCCTCGGGGAGAAGCCACTTGACGCGCTCACCGGCGAAGGGGTATAGCACAGCGATACGTGCGGTCAGGTCGTTGACCTGGTAGCAGAGTTCCTCGTTGCGGGCCTCTTCGGTTTCATTCTGGTTCAAAAGCTCGGGGAAGAAGGACTTGGCGCTAAGTTTTGTGTCATCAATGACCTCGTACGCGGCAAGAATAACCTGGTGACCGTAGACGTCGCCAGCCATGGCCTTGACGATGTCGCGGAAGAATCGTATAAGCAGCTTGCGGTCTTTAGCGTTGGAGTATGCAAGCATAAGACACATCAAGCGGGAGCCGGACTGGGTGAAAGCCAAGTTCTTGATCAAGTCACCCTCTTCGTCACCCTTGATCAGCTCGATAAACTCATTCGCTTCGTTGCTGCCGGGTTTTGTGCAGAGGAAATATTGCAACATAGCATCGTGAAGCATGGTGAAACCAGTGCTCTTCTTCTGCACCAGCTGGTTAATCAGCTCGCGCAAGTAGTTCATGATCGGTCCACGCTTCTCGGGGTGGGCTTCGATGATCTTCGCGAGATCGGAAGTGGTTTCATTCTCATCTTGGAAAATGACAAACTCGGGACCGTACCACTCGCGGAGGAGTCTGGCCTTCTGTGCCCTGGTCGCAACTGTGCGGTAGATGTCGTCGAGAATCCATGAGCCCTCGGGGTGGCGGATGAGACGTCTGACATGGCCGTAGAACTCTGGGATGATCAAATCGCGGGTCTCGTCGTCTCCGTGGACAATCAACTTTCCAACCAAGAACTTAGCATATCGACTTTGCGCCAGCTCCTTGTAAGTGCCCTTCAACTCGTGCGCGATCAGTTTGCGCTGCTCAAGGTTTCCGTACTTGAGAGCAGTCTGAATGACTCGCACCGAGTCGTGCTTGAACACGAAATCCCGAACGCGGGTAGTGATGATCTCAAACAGCTCCTTGACGAGCTTCTTTCTCTGCTCCAAAGGCACATGGGACTTGCGGCGCAATTGCTCCCACAATTTCTTGGAGCGGGCGACGGTATCGGCATTAGGCTTTGCGGCCTTGCGCTCCAGCTGAAGTGCTTTTTGCTTGAGGTGGGATTCGCGAGAGTCTAAGCGCACAATAATGATTAGATGTGGCATCGTCAACGAGGCATAAATGAAACTTACTGTTGGGGTTCTTTGGGGCCTCTTTCTGCGCTCTTTCCTCCGCATTGAGTGTTCTGCCTGACTTGGGCTTCTCCTCCTCCTCGCTCACATCGGGCATCTCAGCATCGTCTGAAAGGGCATCAATATCTTCGTCCGAGACATCGTCAATGTCGAAGTCATCCTCGTCTTCGGATTCTTCCATCTGAACCTTCTTTGATGGCTTCTTGTCGCTCTTGCTGGATTTGGGGTCCTTCTTGGAGTCTTTCTTGGATGAAGAGCTCGACTTCACGGACTTGGACTTCGATGCGGAGCCTTCCTTGGTCTTGCTCCGCTTGCCATTGCGCTCTTCGCTGCCGTCAACAGCACGCTTCAATCCAGCCATTATGAAAGATGATTTCCGTAGGCTGAAGGGTATCTCCGATTGAAAAAAGTAATAAAACTGGGGTCTTTGCGAGCGGAGACTGCTCGATGTCCTGGTGGATAATTTTTTTTGGTCGCAGGCGGAGGAAGTTTTTTTGCCGGCTGTTTGCACAGTTTGCACTGATAAGATACAAAATAGCCCTGCCTTTTCAGCAAGTTCATACATGTACTAGTATGTAGCAATGTTAGTATTCAAATAACCATTTATATAGATTCTTACAGAAATAGATCGAATAATACGTGTATATGAAAGGACAGATTGCTATGGACGTTTTATGATAATAAAATGTAGGACAATGTCTCTGAACGAAGCACAGATGACTCGAGTCGCAACTCGACGGCAACAGATGTACAAAATGCTAATAAGTGACATGAGCCACTAGACTCTCCAGGGACAAGATGATGATCCCTACTGCCATCGACCAAATCCCGAATTATATTACTCTTGAACGAGTGTGGCTTGCATCACCCGAAACAAACCCGAAACGCCGTAGAGAGAATCACAACGCATTAAAGATATTTCATCACTTCATATACCACCGGGGGGTGCAGGTTCGAAGGAGGTTGCTTTCACAGATGCCAGCTCTGATCCGCCGCCACTCTGGCCGCGCTTCCGCCCAGGAATGTGGAAGCCGAAGGACGAGGTAGAAGACTTGGACCCGGATGATTGCGCATCATTACTAGAGTCACCAAACCGGGAGAGGAAGCCCTTTTTCTTAGGTTTCTCGTCATTTAATCCTACTTCTTCAAAGGCTTCTTCCTCCATGATTCCAGACTTGGTAAGGCTGATGGACTGAGTGCCCGATGGGGTTAATCGGGAGAACCGAGAGTCAAGAGAAGTTCGAGAGGGGCCAGCATCAGGATGGATGATGGGTGAGCGGGCGGAAATATCCTAGATTGAAGGGTTCATGTCAGTCGGGTTTATGCGGATCGGATCGGGTCGCGGGGCATACAAATGATCGGCGGTAAGAGTCAAAGGACTCGCGAGAGATGGAGAACGGCTCATTCTCGTCAACTAGATCTCGATGGTTGATGGTTTTGTTGGAGCCCGGGTATCGGCGCCAGAAACTCGGCCGCTCGGGGGGGGAAGGCTATCACGGTAATTAGCAGGTGTATCATACTTCCCGATCACACACAGCCTGTACCGGAAGATAGACGCCGCTGTCGTTGACCACTAGAGACCGAAGTCAGCATTGCAAGCAAGTACACAGCCACACATAGCCACAACGGGGATTCGAACATACCACTCAATTTGTACTCGGTGGGCTCATCCTGGCTATTGCGGATCGGTATGGGCGCAGGACGTTGATTTGGAGAGAGATAGTTCTCATCCACGGGAGCGGGTTCCTCATTGGGTTGGGACTTTCGTCCTAGAAAGTTACGAAATGGAGGCATGGTTGAAGAAGTCAAGTGTGGAGATTTCGGTGATTTCCCCTGTGAAGGGTCCCACGTTAGGGTGAAAGTGCCCCCCGATTCTGGAGCCTACGTCATCCAAGAAGTTTGTGAAATAATGAAGACCATCAGCCAATCAGATTGGAAGAAAATATAAGAAATATTACATAATCTTGTATCTGCCCTGACCCAGTCCCTGATTTATGTCCAACCTCGGCGCACATGCACAGGAACTGGTACTCTACATAAACAGACTACTTCTACTCAAGGAATGGATTAAATTTGCCTCATACATTCAAGCCTAACGAATAAAGCTTTAGAGCTACAAAGATCAGAAGAAGAAAAACATACCCTTCAACACCTGCAAACACCCATTGAAAAAGATCAGAACATTCCACTTCCATGGATGCCTTCGATATGTTCCATCGCAGTTCGCTTCATGAAAATAGATCCACCTGCGAACAAACTCCATAAGCAAATCAAACCCAAGACCGGCCTCAATTCAGAAGCTAATCCAGGCTTGGACTGATGCCATGCATTTCGCTATCACTTTCGTAACAGTGAGTCTCACCAGCAATTGACCTATACTGATAACGCAAAGGACGAAAAAAAGGTGACTCGGACATTGTTTGTTGTTGATTCCTTTTTGTTTTTTTATTGTGCTTTTAATTTTTGGGTTGTCAGAAGCTAAGTGGCATTGTTGGGCTCCAGAAGATTGGCACTGTGGTGGCAATCCAGAGAGCGCGAGTCGGATGGGTCGAAGACGGCGTTCTTGCGCTGTTCGATGAAGTAGGCTGTGCAGAAAAGGAATGTTAGTTAAGGAACTCCAAATATGTGCAAATCATGATACAATGTGATACGACGTACGGGTCAGTTGAATCATATCAAACCAGCGGACGGCGTTCTCGTCACTGCCGTCGACTGCCTTCAGTATACCATTGTCCGGGCGGAAGGTGGCCTTGGGAGGAATGTGGCGCATGCGCAAGAGCATCTCCAGGATGTCGGCGAAGCGGTCAGACTGGTTGAAGTAGTAGGGAGGACGCTTGTCAAGGGGCCACTGGATGGATTGTTAGTGTGAAATGCATCATGGAAGAATAAACATGGACCACTTACGCGCTGAGAAAAGTTCTCGTTGTCCCATGAGCGGAACAGCCAGCAGGTGCGTTCCACGCAGTTCAGCAGGATAATAGCCACAATGAAAGTATCGAACCAGCCGCACTTCTGGCGCTGAAGGAGTCGACGTTCCAAATCATTGATAACAAACTTGCTCAGCTGCGAGGCACGCTTCTCCATGGCGGCGCGCAACTGACTGCAGAGAAGTCCATATGATTCCGGGTCAGAGACCTCCTCGATGGGCAGACGGCCCTCGTCCGATGGCTGAGAAAGAGAGTGCAACGAGTTCGGGGGCAGAGTAGGGTTGTAGTAAGTCTTCCAGGTGAGTTCTGTGTCGACGAGAATGTGGGTCGCGACCCACAGCTCCAACACGCGTTCCAGAAGGATATCCTGTATCTATGTCAATGCACGTTCCCACGTTGAATATCAGAAAACATACCTTCTTTCCCTGGCTGAGTTCAGCCGCAAGCAGCAAAGTGGGCTTCATGAAAGGCGAGGTCTCTCGCTCGTAGAAGTAAGAAGCATTCTTCTTAATGTACATCTCCAACTTATTTGGGATGTCATCCGAGTCCGCGTCCAGGAGATAGACTTCTTGCGAAGGACCAGAGAACTGGTCATCTCCGAGGGCTTGCAACTGGGGGTCAAGTGCAGACACTGAACTGCGGTGACCCTGCAGTCCACTGAAAGTCATGAAGGAATTGCTCTCCTCGAAGTGAGTAACTTCAATGCGACCGGAGTAGTGTTCAAACTTGATTTGATTTTTGATGCTGTTAGTGTCATGGTAGGCAAGGGTAGAGTTGAGATCTAAAGTCCGAGTCAGTATATATTATATCTTCAAAAAGAAGAGAACACAAAAAACATACTCGCATTGTATAGTTCAAACTCATCGGAAAGACGGGTGCGCAGGCACGGGTGCTTCCATAGGCGGGCACTCTCCACGCTAGCGCAAGTTGTGCAAGGGGTATCGCCAGAGCACTATCAACACTTGTCAGTAATATTCACTTATCTCACACCCACACAGGTTCCAAAATCCATACAGGTTTCTTGAGCATTCGGCAACGAAGACATGCACCCTTCTTCCGCACGTCTTGAACTTCACGGCGTCGCTCTGCGGTGAAACGCCCCCGCACCTTGGGTTTCATAGGCTTGGTTGAGTTACCAAACTCGTTCACAAACCCTTTTGCCTGGGTATTTGGGTTCATCGCAATAGGGCGGGGGTAAGATGCAGCACGCTGAGTGGCAGCAGTCAACGAGGGGTCATGCTCTTGCAGGCTGTCGAAAAGAAGCTGCTCATGTGTGGACAGTTGATTCCATTGGCCTAGCTTCATATCAGAGCTAAGGTTATCACTGTCAATCGACATTCCTTGAGGGACCATCTCATTGGCGGAGGCCGCAATCATCGACAGCTGTGACTGGCGCGCATTAGAGGTAGAATCAGGCGACATGGACGCATCACCGAGGGGCGGAGACATGGATGCAGGGTGCTCGCCCGAAGTGTGACTTGGAAGGGCAGGTATACTAGGAGCGTTGGACGATTGGGGAGTTCCTGCAAATTGTTAGTGGTCAAAGGCGTGCAACAATGAACGAAAGAAAAACATACCCTCGGCATTTGCTGTACCGTCCATCTTGGGGTCAGACCCTTGCGAGTGACCTTGGAATCCCTCCGCTTCAAGCGCAGGATCAACAATCACGGTCTTGCCTCCAGCTGTCACAGACTGGGTGTATCCAGGTCCGCGCTTGGTCACGTCTGAGGCGCCGACCTGTCGCGAGGCTTCGGCCAACACGTTGAGACCGTCGAAGTTCTGTCGGTTCGGAAATCCACCTTCGGCAGACTTGCTTTTACCTCCAGCAGGGGAATCTTTATTCGAGTCACCGTCGGTCAAGTCGGGGAGTTCGTGGAGTCGCAACAACACGCGTTGGCGGTCGCGTAGGGGAATCGCCTGACATTTTTTCACCAGATGGTTGGTAAGGCTGTCAATGCGACCCTTGGGGAACACTTCTCCGCAGGCTTTGCACGTATGCTGGTAGCGATTGCTCGCGTCTTCCAGCTTGGGACCTCGGTGGAAGAACTCGAGGATGAGTTGGTTGGGTTTGCGACCCATTGTGAGGGATGGCCGTGGACGTGTTTTTGGAAGGTTTTCACGTGTCGTTTAGCGGTATAGTGACAGTGAACAGTCGGCCAGAGCAATCGACGTGTCGCTCGTTCAGACTAGGCAGTGTATCCCGCCAAGCTGATAGGTCTGTGGACTCGGATTAGAAATGGGGAATGTGGGATGTGGGAGGAAAATCACACACACAGTCACAAGGACTGCAAGGCCCAGGCTGTGAACCTCAGATAGGACCAGTAGCCTCAGAAGAGACTCGAAATGGAATTTAGAAAAACGAATCTCGAGATGATCGAGTCGATGATGTGCGGGCAAAACCAGGGCAGTAGAGGGCGGTCTGGGAATCGCAAGGGGAGGAACACGCGATGGAAGCTTCACCGCACGAAAGGCGGTGATGTCTTCAAGGCGGTAGGAGAAAGGCGGTGATGAAAGAAGAATAAGGATATCTCGATATCAACTTGGATAGGAGACGAGGGAAAGGATGAGTTGTTACGGGATGGGGTTGAAGAAGAGAAGAGGTGAGAAATGGAGGGAGAGGATTTATTAGTCACTTTGTGCCACTGTGACTGCCACTCCCTCTCTCTGAATCTCTCTCTCTCCTTCTGTATGGAAACTCTATATATGGGGAGTTATGCAAGCTGTATCATTTCTTTTTCTTTTTTTCTTTTTTTAAGGGGTTGATAATATGTGTCTACTTGATACCTAGCAATACAAATGACTGGCATACATACTACGCCTACATGTTGGAAAACAGCCAATCTAAGAATATCGTCATTCCCGTGCCTATATTTCGGTGCTTCCCCCCGGGGCCCCAAACCTCAATTTCCCCCTTTTGTGTATGGCCAATACTAACAACACTCAGAACTGATACTCTCATGAACCTATGGATGGAACCTTCATGCTCATCAACAAATACGGTGCTCGGGAGGCCGCCAGGGCACACCCAACAGAGCAAAGATCCGACGTTCGTTCCGGCCCTCAAGCAGCCGACCCCCATTCAGTTTCACTTGCTGGTTCCGAAGCACATCGGTATAAAGGCCCTTTTGGTTCAAGCACATGCCTTTCTTGCGTGCCAGCAGTCTCATACTGCGGTTGAATATATCATTCCCCGTAAAGTATATCAACGCCGCTCCGATCTCCGCATCAGGAACGAACAATAAATCGATCCGACGCCACAGGGTGGTGCCAGGTAGGGCTGATGCACCGTGCCATTTAGATCCATCCTGATGCGACGAGATGGCAAGGCTAGCCTGCAGAAAGCCACTACTGAACAATCTAGGTACAACAAGACCGAGCATCGTAATGCGGATTTGCTCAAGCGAGGCACCAGGTTTGGTGATCAGACAGTCCACGTCCCCGCAGGTGAGTGCCCCGCGGCGGTAAGAGCCCGAGACGATCACCTGCATATCCCTATCCACAGCCTGCACCGCCTTTCGCACGATCGCCCCGTGGGCTTCAACCTCCTTGCGGGGGATTCGTTGCGCGAAGTCGCTGTGGCGTTCCACCCCAATACGCTGCTGTTTAGTCAATGGAGCTCTTTCCAATAAATCCTTCAGAGACCTGTAGCCCTGTGCGACCCATTTGGAGGCCTGGGGAAGGCCAGCACCATAGACGCCGAGAAATTCTTTGATTATCAGGTCTTCTGGGGTATTATTGGTGTTCTCGAGACGACGAAGGCGGTTAGTCATGACAATTTCTTCGATTTTGTCAGCCAACCGCTCTCCGATACCAGGGATGGCCCGAGCCTGTGTTCGCGTAACAATCTTGTTTGGTTGCTTTCGCAAAGCGCTGATGGCTTTGCGATAGGCCATAACCCGCCACTGGTCTGCAGTCTGGGTGTAGTATTCCAGCATTTGCTCAAGTACCTCAATGGTTCCGCTGTTTGGGACGTCAAGCTTCGTGTCCGGATCGAACTTCTGCATACAGGCGAAACCTTTTGTCCAGTCGGATTTTCCTTTGCCCTTGCCTTCTCCGGTGGATGTTTTTGGTGTTTTCCAACTTGACTCCTCCCCTGAGCTCGAGGTTTCGTTATCGGAAGCACCAGCAGATTCGTCAACGGGAAATTCGACTGGATCCAGAGGCTGGTTGTAAAGATCAGTTCTGTGAACTTTCGCCGACGGGGAAGTAGTTTTACCAAATGACTTGTGGCCTTAGCCTCGTCTATTATATCATCCAGTGCATCTCGCTCCCGACTTCCTCTTTTACAAGCTTCTTCGGCTGCAGGTTCATGGACCGGTTCAGAGATCATATTATTGGGCACACTTTCCGGTACAATTTCTGGTAAGTCTTTTGGCAAGGAGTTTGGCGTCGGTTTCTTGACTGGCGATAAGCAACGTTCCGGAGACTGGTTTTTCTCCCGCCGCGATGGTTTCAATGGAAGAGAATCAGGAAGTGGTGGTTCCACAACTGGAGACTTCTGCTTCTCGGCAGTCGTTGGAGTTCCGTTGGGACGAAATCGAAGGTGCGAGGTATCAAGAACGGAACGAAACTGGATACATTCGGATGGATATGATTCATTGACAAGAGCGACATTCGTCTACAGCGGTTAATATTAAAGTCTGGGTATCTCGTGAATGAACCTACTGGCAAGGATTCAAGTTTGAGGTAGTTAAGGAGATCGGTCAATAACAAGTTCTTGTCCATAATCACATGAGTGACATCGGTAGCCCAATTTTGACTCCATCGTGCACCATAATCCTGCGCTCGTTGAATGCGCAATCGTCGGAATGGAGATACATCGTTGTTTGGGAAGAAGACTGGTATTGAGAGTTCAGTGAGAGTAGGCTGTGGGATATCTAGACTACTTACAAAAGACCAATCCCTTGAAGATCTGCTGGTCAACTGGGATTATCTTAGCATTATTGGTCTTTCTTTTCTTTTGAGGAGGCCCTGCGCTCTTGATAGCAGGCATAGTTCCAGCTGTCCGAGGGCGGTTCGTAGGGGCAGGCTTAGCGACAGCGAACGGACTGCCTCTCTTGCTTTGAAGGTCACACGAAGATATAGGGTCCGAATTTGCTCGAATACGCTCCGCGAAAGGAGCGACTTTGTTTGGATTGGGTTTGTCGAGTCCTTTGTCTGCAGAAGTTAGAAGATTCCCCCAGCTATCATCCTCTTCATCTTGATCATCTGAGTCATCCAGCCGATCAAGAGCCGTAAAAAAGCTCTTTTTAGTTGGAAATAGGTCCTTCATAGTAGGCTAGTCCGGATTCCAATGGAGGGGCGGCTGCCTACGCCAGGGGTGGTTCATTATATAGGCTAGACCTCGGGGGTCACTGTTACCGCACATCCATGGATGACTCGAGAGCAATGGAAGCGTAATGGTCCGAAAACTTCCTTGGGCCACTCGGACCCGTGGATGCGAGACGCGATTGACTGGCGCGAAATGGGCGCCAAGTCACGTGGCCTAATTTAGATATTCACAGAGTGACCTATAACGAGGAATATCGAATCCGTTTGGAAATAGCCCCCTTGGGTAGACCTAGGTGGTACCATAAGTTATCATTCTAAACATGTATTTCACGATCTATTACCTCCCAATAATAGAACTAGCATCGACGACTATTCCCAATTTGGAAATATTATGTCATGTGACTCTTGATTTCCATGGAAGATCAAATGCGCGGACAAGTTCGAAAGCAATAACCTCACAATCCACCACCCTACACACGGCCCGTTGACTGATAGACCGTGAGCCAATATGTGGAAATCCGCCCTCCCCACATTTGTGGCCGACCTTTCCCTCCTGCAGACTGGCCGCTGTCTAAGCTGCCAATTCCGCAACCCAGCAACTCTCTCCCAGCTACGGACCAAACCCTTTTCTCTGCGCCAATATTCCAGCAAGCCCGAGAAACCAATCGACACAAAAGACCCCGCTCCTGTGAAACGAAACATAAGAAATGAGGCACACCGCCTATCGACTGCCATCGAATTCAAACAGAACCAGTCCCAGGATGGACCTCAGCCTGGCGACGCAGACTTTGTTCCTCCAAGCCTAGATCGGCCCATCGGTAGCCCGCAAGCACCCTTAGAAGGACAGAATACAGGTATTGACACGCGGTCCTTGCGCCAGCGGCGCGACGACTTCACCAACTATGACCGGCACATCAAGCGGCGCAAGGAATTGTACGATTTTGCCTTTCCCCCTTCTCTTCTTAACACCCCGGGATATAGCCCAAATCCGGAAATAGTAGGGCTGATAAACAATTGCAACTCATAGGACAAAGCAAGTCGCCAAGCCGTATTTCCGCGAATGGTCCAATCTCCGCTTCGCCGAGGGCAAGACCTTTGTCTCGAACCCGCGGCTCTTCAAAGCCGACAGAGCCCTTTACTTCCCGAACATGCGCGGCGTAACTTTGGCAACGCCCAAGGACCCCCAGGACACCACGACGCAGCTGCGCGGCAGCATCTCTGTTGTAAACTTGTTCTCGAGCGTGTGGGCTGAGAGCCAGGTTGCGACGTTTACAGGGCCAGAGCAGAACCCGGCACTTGTGGAGGCGATGGCCAGCGGAGGAAAAATGGTGCAGAGGATTGATATCAATCTCGAGGAGAACCGGTTGAAGGCGTTTCTGGTGAAGATGTTCATGTGGCGGATGCGGCAGAAATTGCCCAAGCAGCAGCATTCGCGCTACTTCCTTGTGCAGAAGGGTTTCGTTCAGGCACTCAAGGAGACCATTGGCATGATGAATTCTAAGGTCGGCTATGTTTACCTGGTTGATTCGGAGTGTCGCATTCGCTGGGCGGGGAGTGGACCGGCTGAAAAGTCTGAGTTGGAGGGACTCAATGCTGGTGTGCGGAAGCTTATTGAGGAGAAGAAGGATGTTCTCCGGGTTCAGGATCCATCTCGCAAGTATTGATTAAGGTTGTGATGAGAAGGATTACCTGAACTGGAGCCTTTGATGTGATTTCATTCCGCTCTCGGTTGGATTTGTACATACAATAGAGAAACTGTATAATAGAAAGTATAAATAGGCGCCTTCGAGACCCTTTCACGAGAATTATCATCGATTCTGTCGCATCCCCCATCAAGGGGGACTCGGAACATGCCTAAACCCAAACGCCTTCGAGAAATCCACTCGCTAGAGAGCAGCAATCGACATAAGAACAATAAGACATAGGGACGGCGGTGTCACTGAGCTACCGCCGGAGCCTCGACTCCATACTTTACCGGAAGAACAGCAACATCAAAAAGCAGAACCCAATGAAGCATCCGAGGATAATAGCATCCCGCCTCTTCTTGTTTCCAATCTTGCCGATGAGATAGTTCATACCGGGGACACTGCCAGCAGCTCCGACAATACGCCGATTAATGTTGGCAATAGTCTCGCTCTGGACACCGAAGTTCTCATTGATGGCATACGCCTGGCTCAGCACGCCGTCCATCATACTGTGGCTGTTCTCGACTCGGCCCCGCTCTTCAAGCATGTACTCGGCCTCGGCAGCGGCGGGGTTGGATGCGCGATAGGAGCTGATGTCTGAACGGACGTTAGAGAGTAGGTTTGCGCGGTCACGCGATTCAGAAATAGCTGCGGTCAGACGTTGAAGCTCGCGGCGGTGGTCTTGGAGTATTTCGCGGTGGCGGGAGACATTGTTCTGTTTAAGGGCGGAGGCAGTGAGGGTGGCTTCGGAGTCGAGTAGACGGGATAGTTGGGCGATAACAGCCTCGCGCTGTACGGTCAATTAGTTGTCGGTGCTTTTCTCTCTGTTACATGTCGGTGAATGGACGTACTCTTTCGAGGAGGTCTTTCAATTGCGATTCAAGCCGCAGCTCCTCCTCCGTGGGTGACGGCGGAGGTTTGGTTATGGATGCAAATTGTGAATAGGTGTGGAAAAGGTTCTCGGTCTATCGTTGCATCAGTTAATATTCGTATAGGGCTCCTGATGAGGAGATATTGGTACCTGAGTTTCAAGCGACCGTGCTTGTTGCCGGAGCTGTGTCCAACCTGAGCTAGTTGAGGATGCCATGGTAGGCAAGGAATATGTATAGTTTGGATATGAAGTCACCGGAGAGATCTGATATGTTTAAGAGTTTCTTTCAGACCAACTAGTCAACGTGCAAGGGCCGAGGTGCTAGTTAACTAGTTACCTGCTTGTCTATGTACGTAAGTGCCCATGACGGGGTAAAGTGCGCTAACCAAATACAGTAATTCTCTGCCCCGGATCCCAGGCACCTTCCGCCAGAAACTTCAGGCCTCAAATTCAGGCTTTAGTGCCACCGTAATCACGTGCACCCGCTAAAGTCACAAATTCGCTTAGCCCTAGTCCCACAACCAGTCGCAAATTGACCCTCGGACATCTTCAATTCTCAACGTCGACAACCCACACAATTCAACGCCACCATGGTATGTCGTGCTGTGCTACGGCTCTGATATCAAAATGCTGATGAATCGCTCTTTTTTTGCAGTCGTCCAAGGTCAAGGCTGGTCAGCTCTGGGGCAAGAACAAGGATGAGCTCGCCACACAGCTCGAGGAGTTGAAGTTGGAGCTTAACCAGCTCCGCGTTCAGAAGATCTCTTCCGGCGCTTCCTCCAAGACTCAGAGAATGTGCGTATTCGACACCCCCCGATATTTCATTTTTTGTGCGGATGGGATTTGAAGATCTGCGGGATGGGAACGATCGAGAACCCGGGCCAGACAACGTGCAAGAAGATTACGCCAACATTCAACCAAGGGATCAACGAGGAAGAGGTGGATTACACGATCTGGCAGACCGCGCACGATACTGGGGCCATCGATATTCGAGATTTGATACTGACGGAAATTTTTTTTTCTAGCGGCGAGGTTCGCAAGTCGATCGCTCGTGTTCTCACTGTCATCAACGCCAACCAGCGCGCTCAGCTGCGTCTGTTCTACAAGAACAAGAAGTACCTCCCGCTCGACCTCCGCCCCAAGCTCACTCGCGAGATCCGCCGCCGTCTCACCAAGCACGAGCGTACCCAGACCACCGACAAGCTCCGCAAGCGTGCCATCCACTTCCCCCAGCGGAAGTACGCTGTTAAGGTATGATACTCCGACAATCCAGCGCAGGAACAGGCGGAATGAGGGTTCATAGATGTTCATCTTTGCCCTCGCCACCAAGGACCTCACCCGTCAGACGAACCGAAGCAACCGAGCACAATGCTGACGATCTATTTCCTGCAGGCTTAAACGCAGAACTTGTTCGGATATGGAGTTTTGTGGGAAGACGTTGCTGGCCTTGGACATAAGCAGGACGTGACAGTTGGATCCGAAAGCTTATGGAGGGGTCGGTTTTCTCTTTTTTTTTACATCCAAAAAATGGAATTTGATTATGTATCTAAATAGGATGCAAATCGACTCTTGACATGACATGATTTTAGACATTCTCCAAGCTTCCTTACTCTTGCTCGCATGTAAGACCAGTGACGATATCTCACGGAGATGCATAGTCTCAGGACTCGGTGATATATATTTCTACAATATACAAGTTTTGTGTGGTCCGCATTTCTAATCTACATGGCTTGAGTACAAAGCAAACATAACTGTCGGATTAAAGATATCTTGCTTTGGTCACAAGGGAATCTAATGCGAGACATCCAAATACCACCCCAAGTCTACCTAAGATTAATATAAAAATGTTTGAAAACCAATATATCCTCACATCCTAAAATAGCTAACCCGACATTACCCTCGGTCAAAGCTAGAATGCGAGCCATAGTATCCAATCTCAGCCTCGACGTTCCAAGTCTAGGTAATCCGGTTGCCATTGCCATTTGCACTCGCAGTACCAATCCCCAGAACCCCAGTATCTGTCTCAAGAACCCACATGCCCCCGCAAAGACAAGACCGCAACAGCCCCAGCTTAGCAATCATCTTGAACGACAGAAGCGACCGGGGCAGATTCGTATCACCAGAGACTTCACAGCAACGCGCACACCGGCGTTTCTTTACCGGCGCCACGCGACCATCATTCCCCAACGGCAACGGCGGGCGCAGCGGGCACTTCTTGAGGATATCGACCTCACGGTGCCTCCGGTACAGCGCCGTGCGTCGGTCATTTCCAAAACCAAGCCAGCTATAGTCCCCGAGGTAGATCGCCATGCGGTTGATCTCGGATTTGAGCGCCGGGACTGTCTGTCGGAGGAGGGTGGCCACGGCAGTAGTGAGGACTGGCGGGATGCGCGCATTAACCAGCAATTCCTTTTCCGGGCCGGGTCTTTCGGCATCGCCGAAGCCAGCGCCTTGGTAGGCGTGCTTCACGGCTGAGTCCACTCCTGCCAGGAACTTCTCATACACGTCGATTCGTACCGGCGATGATTCTAGTGTTTGGCAGATCTCTGTGTAGTAGATTCGGGAGTCGCCTAGAAGAGAGGCGGGGTTTGCGCTAGCGAAACCAGCGTGCACGCCGCGGAGGCCACGGCAGATGAAGCGGAGGAAGGCGCGCGACATGCTTGAGAGGAGGATTAGGAGGGGGAGAGAGGAAGAGTTTTTCACTGTAAAAGGGTGAGCGAAGCTGGAGTTGGTTATTAAGAGGTTCCTTACACTTCTGTGTGAATGCTTCTGAATCATCGAATACATCTTCGAATTCGTCGGCCATGTCGAAGATTTCGCTCAGAAGAAAATGAGAGAAGTCTAGTGTCCATTTGGTGTTACCCAATACCATGCGTAGAACGTCTTTTGTTTCAATTAGCAACGGATAACGATAAAATGGGCTTTCTTTGAACTCACCTGGATCATGCGATTCTGTCTGGCCTCCCTTATTATACTGGAAGAAATATGCGAATAGAACTGAGGCATGTCTGAGTTGAAGGCTTGCCCATGGCACGGCCGATGAGAGGTTGCGGCGCTTGAGTCTCCCTTTGAAGCCCAGTCCGGCCTGTAAGCTGAGACAACGAGGTATGTACGGATGGCTCATGAGTTTGTCCTGTTCGGCTGTAAAGTTGCAATTGACTGGCAGTGCACGGTACACCTCGCTGATGAATGTGGTTTGAGCCTCTTTGGGAGTTGTCAGTGGATTTGATATTATCAATACGAAGGTTTTCAAAGCACTCACCTAGTGATAGCTGCCCAAGAGCAACCATGAGTATGTCATCTGTATTATAATCAACGCCACATCCTCGACTGAATGCCAATGTCAAAGCCGCAATGGCCGCGGAAAGATTGTCTGCATGCCTCGGTCAGTATTTTTATTTCATAAAAGTGACCTGATAGGCCATCTGGAAGATACATACTCTCGTCATAGAGACCCTCCGTGGATCCAAATGAATGCTCCATCGCCCTCAGTTGCATATGTCCGTCACTATCCAGCGTGACGGCAACGCAAGCATTAGGAGAGAAAGCAATGTGAAGACCTGTCCATGTCAGTTCTAGCCACGCCACTATCGTTTAGTTTCGTACCTGATGTTTCGAGCGGGTACTGGAACCCAGCCTGGGCCAGACAGGTCACTGCGCTTGAATCGTCAAGACCGTTCAGAACGGCCATTGTCCGTGTGTCGTAGCAAGTTATTGAGCTGTCATCATGACTGACAGCCAAGACTGTCCCATGCTCTACTAAATCGACCGAGACAATGTACTTATCGCAATAAACATTCTCCAGCCTCCGCAGTTCCATTTTGGGCTGAGGATAGGTCAGTATCGATTCCACGCAACAGTCAAATATCGAGGAATGCACACCTTTGCTTGAGCGTTGCTCTTTTTTGACGTCACTTCGTCAAACTTGGGATGGAGGATCTGCGGGGCAGATTCCAAATGCCACCTGACAATCACACTCGGTGGGCCTTGCTGGTCTGGATAATCATGCATGGCGTGGAGAGGCTTCGATAAGACAGCCAGGATCCAAGGGTTAGCAGTGGACCCCGCGAGGCTATCAAACTGTCCCGGCATGATCTCTAGTCGTGTCAACGAGTATACCGAGTTCAAAAACGGCAAAGACTGATCGTGATGGTCCGGGCCCCGGTTAACGTTCAATATATTGTTAGGCATGTCGACTTTACAGTGGATCAAACGGAAGGTGGGGATAGGGAATTGGCCAGGCAGTTTTCCCTGTGCCGGCTCCCATTGTGGCGGGTTCCAGCTGATGTGCACTCTATAAAGACACATTTTCTGGCATGCGGAGTAGGTGGAGAGAAGGATCCCAGCTGTTTTGATGTGTCAGTGATGGCAGGAAATGGAGCTCCGACTGAAAGACAATACCTTGTGTTGCGGTCATGGATGCATGCGTTAATAGTCTATCCGAGTACCCTGTGTTCTTCAGTTCGGCTGGCAGCTCGGCCCATTTGCTGTCGGGGTTTTGATATATCAGCTTGATCTGGCCGGCTCTGGTCACACATATCAGTGCGCCTTTGTTGGCTGGGTGGAATGGCCCGACGGGGCGTCGACGGAAAGGCGAATATGCCCATCGGCCATTCACCTTGGCTGCTTGATGAAATGCATGCACCTATATTACCAGTTAGAGTCCTTTCACTCTTATCTTGATATATCGATGGATAATACAAGGGGACTCAACGTACATAACGCTGGGAGTTCAGCCACATCATCCCAACAACCTGGCTGCCATCATCGCCGGAGTCAAATGAGGCTTGACGCAAGCCTGTGATGCTGTTCAGTGCAATTGAAATGGAATAGATTGATACCCGACCGGAACAGTCGACAACGGCCAGTTCTGAGCCTGTTTCATTCCATGATAGATGGGCCAGTTGAGTGCCATTATGGGCCTCCAAGACTGGAGCCAAAGATGACTCTTCCCCGAGCACCCATTTGCCATCTGATGGGCGGCATTGGAGATAGCGGATAATAACCCGGATTCCGTCTGGGGAAATAGATGCAATACATCCCATCCGAGACCAGGCGATTTTCCTAGCAGATGGTTAGTGCTGGAATTTGGATGTGCAACATTTTTCCAAGCTTACTGGCAGCACCCTGATAGACGCATTTCATCTAAGCATTGTGCTAGACCTTTGATTGGGGAGGCGGTCGGCAAGCCCAGCTCCAGGGAGTTGGGTTCTCCAAAGAGATCATCCACATCGATACCGTCCTCCATGATCAAGGGCATGATATTATCGGACCACTTGTCAAATGTGTTTGATGATCAGGGAATCAATAGAGCAGCATAGCTTCATAGAGTTCCTCGCACCAATGAATATCAGAGATGGGCTTTATTATTATTTGGTCAAAGGGGGAGTGGATTCCCGAGATCGGCACCCAATGTTCGAGAAGATATCCCAAACACCAACAAGGATGTCACCGTCAATGCAGCAATTCCCGATGTCAATATGAGGGGGACCATAGACCAAATCCAGATGTTCCTATGCCGTCAGCGCCTGGACCTCCAGGGACCAACCCAGTGATCTGCTTAGTCAGACCTCGTGACACGGATCAGGTGACGGGTAGCCCTGCCAACGACCGCTGACCAATCAGGGGGAATATCAGGTGACCCACTATTTAGCAGAGCGAATCACTGCCGGTCCCTTGAACTGTCAAAACATGGAAAACAGAAAAAGAGTGGCAGGAAAAATAGAAAGAAAATAGCCAAAAATAAGAGAATAATCGGAGAAGCACAATCGGAAGTATCAAGCGCCGGATTAGGGCGTGAAAGCGCAATTGACTACTATAAACCCCCTACAAAGTACGATCAACGGGGCTTCAATGGCATCGGGGCATCAAAGACTCTCTCGCGCTGGACTACGGAGTAATTCCCTCTGGATTTCCGAAGTATACAGCGTAGCAACCTTGAAGTCTTAAACCCACAGCCGTTCGCATCAAAATAACGTCGAGTCCCGCCCTTCCCGGTTCGGTTCGCTCAAATCAATTTGCTCCTCAGCTCAACATTCCTAAATCCATTCGGCCAAAACAAAGACTGTTTTTTTATCTGTGGCCCGCTCTTTTTTCTATTCTGTTTTTCTCCGGCCCATAGAGCCCTGAAGCGCACGAGTTTCATTAATGTTCCCCCCCCCCTAACGCTGACCTCATCGTCAACTTCCTTCAGAGCTACAACTTTCGACCTACAACTATTCCTACTCTTTTCTACCCTCTCTTCTATCTATCTCGAGGTCTTACGCGTCATTGATTCTTGATTGATCTTTATTCCGCATACATTCATGATTCCTCTTTTCGAGGTTTTCTACGGTCTGTGAGCAATTTGGAGGTACCACTCGGTCCTTTTCGCCCCGATTCCCCCTGGGGGTGAACATTCTCCTACGCCGTGACACCTTTCAACCCATTCGCAACTCCCACGCAGCCATGGGGGATCTCAATTTGGATTTCTCATCCGATTCGGAGTTGAGCTCCGTGCCGTCATCACCAACATTAGCAGCGCAGTCATCACCCGAGCCAGCAGAGCGGTACCCAACGCCTTCATCCCAAGTGGGAGCTGAGTCTGCTGAGGGTTCTGCGCGCCAAGCCCGTCCCGCAAAGAGGAGACGAAACCCCCTACCAAAGGAACGAACTACTCAATATCTCGATCTATCTGAACCTCTCTATGAACAAAATGCCCAACACTATTTGCTAGTTCAAACTCTGCGTCATCAAAAAGACATTGTCGTCATCGCTGGCGCTGGAATTTCCACGGCCGCGGGTAGTAAGTTTCTGCTCTAAGGATTCTGCCATGTTTGAGCCGACACTCATAACTCTGATAGTTCCGGACTTCCGCTCCACAGATGGGCTCTTCAAATCATTGCAGAAAAAGCACAATCTAAAAGCTTCCGGCAAGCTTCTTTTCGATGCTGCCGTCTACCAGGATGACGCATTGACGGCGCCCTTCCACGAAATGGTCCGGTCGCTGTCGGCGGAGGTTGCTAATATTAAGCCCACCGCCTTCCACCAAATGCTTGCCCGATTAGGTATCGAGTCTCGCCTGAAGCGACTTTACACCCAAAATATCGATGGGATTGAAACCTCTATGCAGCCACTGGCGACTGAGGTCCCACTTAACGTCAAGGGCAGTTGGCCAGTCACTATTCAACTGCACGGCAGTATTGAGAAGATGGTATGCCAGAAGTGTTGCTACCTCGACAACTTCAACCCCGACATGTTCATGAAAGCCGACCCGCCCGCTTGCACAGAATGTATTGAGACCGACGAAGCCCGCCAAATCGGCGGTCACCGAAGCCACGGAATTGGCCGCATGCGCCCGCGCATCGTGCTCTACAATGAGCACAATCCTGACGAAGAGGCAATCACCTCCGTGATGAACGCCGATATCAAGTCCCGTCCTCGTGTCCTAATTGTCGCCGGGACCAGCTTGAAGATTCCCGGAGTCCGTCGACTCGTCAAGAGCTTGTGCACGATGATCCGCAGTCGCAAGGATGGTGTCACGATGTTCATCAACAACGAACCACCAAGCGGCAAAGAATTCGATAACTGCTTTGACTTGATCGTCAAGGGGTCATGTGATGAAGTTGCACATGAAGTTAACCTCAAGTCATGGGAGTCAGAGGACACTACCCCATACGTGTACGAATCCACGCCCGAGCCCATTCTTCGTCCCTCAAATTCCACGGGCATTTCTGTCGTAGTCACACCGAAAAAGAGACCTCGTGCAGACACTGGTCTCGCCACGCCTTCTTCCAGCCACGACGAGAAGCCCACGAAAAAGCCAGTCACCAAAGCTTCGAAAATCAAGATCCAAAACCCAGCAAGCAGTGGCCGGTCCATCAAAGATATTATCAAGAAAGAAAAGCCTGCTGCTCGCAAGCCTACCTCCAAGTTCATCACCAAGCCCGCCCCCAATCCTCGACCCAAAAAGGCCGCAACAGCCGCCGCCTCGAAAAAGAGTGCCATACCCGCCGTTCCGGTCAAGAAAATCGCCTCGTTCGGCCGTGTTACCAAAACCTCTCAATATGCTGGCAAGCTCGTTGCAAAGGCCGACGGCAAACCTATGCAACCGGTCTCAGCGGGCGCCTCGAGGAACAACGGTCCTCTGCCAACAACAGAGCAGCCCGAGAAGGCAGACATGCTCGATACAGAGTCTCTTCCTCGGCCAGTGGCTTCCTCTTGACTATTCTATGTTCTAGATCCTGTACTGATCTTCTATTCTATGTTGGCTGCAAGTTCATGACATGATGCATGGTTACCGAATGGCGTCCTTGGTGTTATTTCCCTTCATTGTCTTTCCGGTGCCTTCCCCTTATCCCCTTCTGGGATTTCCGTTTCTTCACTTATGTTTACATACTTCTCTTCGTGGACTGTATTCCTACTTGCATCACCTGCGTTTGCTTTAGGTTGATGATTGCTGCTGTCCTCTTTTCGAAAGATACCAATTGATAGACCACGGTTTCTCGCATGGGTTGGCTCGGGCGTTTTTGGGACGAAGCTGGCTTGTTCCAGCGTGATGGGGTTTCCTTGTTCTATTTCTTTTTCCTTATTCTTACCTTCGCTCATGCCAATCTGCATGGGTGTTTCATGTTGGATTATCTAAATGAGATCTCTACTTGAGTTCCACCTACACATTTTGTCAGGTGCTGTCTTGTTTAATACTCTTTCCTTGTTCTACTAGGAAACAAGATGGTTTCTTTTCCTTTGTTTTGTGTCTGTAATCTTTAGTGTAGTAGGGCATTGGGGGTTGATATAAACATCAACTCCTGGCTGCGCAACTGTAATGTACGTGACATGTCGAGGATTGTTATACTATATTCTGGACTTCATCAAAGTTTACCATCTTCGACTGTATCCAAGTAGATATCAACAGAGTGCAGCATAAAATCCATTCGTCATTATGTGTATAGTACAGCAGAAAACATCCTTTTCATTTGCCAGTCAGTCTCTCCCAATGCCGTCCAGAGTGAGTTGTCTTTGGCTCATTCACATAGACATGGCCTGGATAGTTAGCCCAACCCAAGATCATCCCGTAACTGACTACCAGGCCCATCCTCATCTTCATCCGTCTCCTCGGCATCAGGATCATAAGGCCCCCTCCTCGCACCAGGCTCACGGTCCAAATCCTCCACATGCTCAAGGTTATCCTCACGCGGCGTGCGATCTTCCTCCTCTTCCTCCTCCTCAGTCTCATCCTCTTCTTCCTCTTCCTCTTCAACATCTTCCTCTTGAGTCTCATCTCCATCATCTCCAGCAGTCGGACCAACAGCTTTCTCCACACTCACGCCCCGCTTCACCCTTTTCGCGGGGTTATCAAGCATATCGACATCAGCATCGGCCTGGGTCGCGCCTTCGCCTAACGCATCCTCCGTGGAGCCATTCTCATCTGCCTTCTTTGGCTTGCGCTTCCCGGCTTTTATTTCCATATATGCCTCCAGTTCCTGTTCGAGCCTGCCGCGGAAAGAGTCGAGTTCCAGCTCGGAGAGGGCGTTGAAGACGTCTGATGGGGCAATGGTGCGTTTGAGGGTTGCATCGTTGGCGCTAGGAAAGCGAGGGTTAGTTCGACATATCATACCATGGGATAGAGTAGAGCAAATCGTGCTTTACCATCCAACATATTTGGGACTGGAAGCACGCCAATGGCAGCGGGGTAAGGGTGAAACATACTGTGAAGACAGATAAGAAACAAACACCGTAGCAGCCTTCTGCATAGCCAATACAGCGTCCTTCTGGATCGTCGTATTCGGCGGGAGAACCGACTTGGCGAGACGAATCGTCAGTGAGCGTGGTAGGAGATAGTCCTATGGATTACCGGAGATAGCGTTAGCCTGGTCTGGTTCCTCCCCTGCCCATGCGTATATGAAGAGCCCATGGGTATGGTGACATCCTTTAATACGCAATGCATGTTCATGTTGTCTTACCTCGACACTTGCGCCCGCCTCAGCCCGAGCCTTCAACTGCTGCTCCGTCGCAAAGACGGGCTTGTCGGTGTGCGCCACTGGAGACGAGTGCTGGAGCAGGGAATCATCAGGATCAGCGGGCGTCACTGAGGACGTGGATTTGCGGGGTGGCATTTTTGTATGTTTGAAGCAGGTAGGTAGGTGCCTTCGTGGCGGTTGGTTCAAGGGATCGGGGGGTTGACGATCTGGGCCCCCCTTGGATATTGAATCGAATCAAGGCCTGATTGTTTCTCTGTGAAGGTCTTGAGGGTTGTGTCTAACTTTGGGCGGCAGTTAACTATAGGCTTTGAAGAGATAACGTTCGAGGGTTGCAAGGAAGACGCGCCAACGCGTTAGATTTCTCGATGCGCGAGTGTGGGGGGCTTGGCGGTGATGTCTACTCTACTTCGACATTATTTATATTTCTATATTCACTTCTACAATAATATTTATTACAATCTACAGTTTTGGTGGGGTTTATTTGCAAGGAATTGATTTTACTGATGTTTTTATACCATTGAAATTGAGATCAAGCCTAGGGAAGGATGGAATGCCAACATAAAACGCCCACTTTTTGGTATCCAGAAAGATAGAATCAAATAGATAATGAGTTCATAACACGAGCAGGAAGAGCGGCCCTTACTCGACCATCTCATCGTCATCACCTTTTCCATTGCCCCAGAGACCCTCGATGCTGAACTCCTTGGCCCACTCGGTGACAACCTTTGTGGTGTCAACACCAGGCTCGATATCGCCAGCAGGAGCATCTGCCGAAACCACAGGCAGCACGGGTGCAGTGGCCCAGCCTTGAATGCGGCCATCTCTCCAGTCGTTGATAACGGTCATGGCAGCGCTCTCGATGTTGGGGATACCGTGCTTTCCGAGACGGCCGCGCTTGCGTGCCACTTGGACCAAGAAGTCGGTGGTTTTATCGCCATTGCCAGGGAAGAGGGCGGTGATGCCGTACAACTCGAGCATCTTAGCGAGAAGGTTCTCCGATGAGGATAAACGCTTCATCAAGAGGTTGACTGCGGGAATGGGATCCTCGATCTGCTTGGGCGGGACAGCGTTGAGGAGAATCAAACGCGCCTGATCCTCTTGCTTCTTGTTCTTCTTGCTAGACTTGTCGGAGCTGGGGAAGACGATTCCGGGCGAGTCAATCAGCTTGAGTCTGCTGTCCAGCTTGACCTGGCGCAGGCTAGTGGTGACACCAGCCTCGGCGCCTGTGGGGCATGCGTTGCTTGAGCCCTTGTTCAGACGTGCGGTGAGTGCGTTGATGACGGACGACTTGCCGACATTAGGGTATCCAATGACACCGACGGAGATGGCTCGCTTCAACTGCTTGGCGCCGGCGTATGACTTGAGGGCACGGAAGAGTGTATCCGAAGTACCCTTGATTGTCAACTGCTTGTGGTCGAAGGTGTGTGCGTTGGAAGTGGTGCCGCTGGATGCCTTAAGGGGGAGAGTGGGGAAGGAGCGGCGCAGGTGAAGCAACCAAGCCTTGAGCACCGGCGGCGGAACCAGATCGATCTTGTTCAAAATGAGAATCAATCGCTTGTTACCACCGTCCGCCATCATGATCTCGCGCTCAATATCCTTAGAGCGGGTACCCTCCGGGTCGCGGGCATCGAGCACGTATAGCACGACATCGGCGTTGTCAGTGACCTGCTTGAATACCTTGTCGAATTGGCGTCTTGAGCTCTCCTTTGAGTAAGACTTTGAGTTGACCAATGGCGGGGCAGATTCGTCAATAGTTGCGCCCTCCTCGAGGTCTTCATCCATCTCATCCTCGTCCTCGTCTTCATCTTCCTCCATGTCTTCGTCGTCGCTTTGGTTGTCCTCGTATTCTACGGCACGGGCGCGTGCTGAGGCGAGAAGAGCAGCCATAGGGTTCGAATCATTGCCCTCGGCATCCATATCATCATCCATAATATCGTTCTCATCGATGTCGACAGCCGCGGTGCCAGTCGCGGGCAGGTCTTCAGTCTTGCGGGTTTGTGCTGCCTCTCGAATACGTTTTTGCTCCTCGGCCTTCATGCGCTTTCGCTCTTCAATGTCATGGAGAAGCTTGTCCTTGCCGGGGAAGAGATTAGGAATGCCGGGGTCCTTCTTAAGTTTTGACCGCCATTCAGGGTTCTGCAAAGAACATAGTCAGAAACTTCGATCAGAACCATCACGCGGATATTGTCTGTAGTACCTTCTTTGCGAGCTTCTTTTGCTTTCTCGCCTTCTGAACAGCAGACTTTTCAATCTTATGCCTCAGGCGGACGGGAACCCGCTTGGAAGTCTTGCCTGTAGACCGTTAGAATTGCGCCTCAGAACCGCATGAGCGAGAGGTGAAAGAGTATCATACCAAAGCCGCTCTTAGTAACCATTTTCAATGCACGTATTTGTTGATCGCAAAGAAAAGTGCACAGCAAACCCTCAAAGTCTGTCCGTAACGGGAGTAGAAAAAGTTGAGTGCCAAGATTTCCCAGCCGATAAGCGGATTATTAGTTGGGCCGATCTCCGATAATTTTCAAATGACGATGACTAAGCATGCGGGACAGTTGCTAAATTAGGTACATACCCGACTCAGTGGAGGCATCGGGGATAAGCAAGAAATATATTATTTGATGACACCTTATCCTCCATTATCCTCCCTTGGAATTCTGGTTCCTCTTACTGTTGATATTTAACACAAAATTATCAACAGGCTGCTTCTTGTTTTTCACAAAATCGGCTTCTCTTTCTACTCACTATTGACTCCGCGCGCATTCAAGTCTCCCCGCATCCCCCACCATGTCCTCAGCAACAGGAACGTTCTCTGCGCCTGCGCAAGTCCACACATTCGATGGTCTTCTTTCTGACTTCGATGGCACAATTGTGGACTCGACTGATGGTATTCGATCCCTATTCAAGTCCTCCTAAGATCAATTGGAACCAATACTGATTATCCGGTACTGAATAGCCATTGTGAAGCACTGGCACAAGTGAGTCATAAACACCCAACATGACCGCCGCGCAAACTATCTAACATGAATTCCGCTTCAGATTTGGCAACGATCTCGGCGTCGACCCCAAGATTATCCTCGCGACCTCGCATGGCCGCCGCAGCATCGACGTAATGGGTATATACGACCCAACCAAGGCCAACTGGGACTGTACGTATATTGGATTCTAAACCCCCAAACCGATCGCTATCTTCCGATATAAGCAAAGGATATAAACTGACAATATTTCCTCGCCACAGATATCAATGAAGTCGAAGGCCGCATCCCGAAGGAATATGGCTCCGACGCCGTCGAGATCCCTGGTGGCCGCGACCTCCTAGCAGCCCTCGAGACCTCCGGCGCAAGATGGGGTGTTGTAACATCTGGCACGCGCCCTCTAGTCCACGGCTGGCTGGAAGTGCTCGGCCTCCCGCACCCCAAGAACCTGGTGACAGCAATGGATGTGCCGCTCGGCAAGCCGGACCCACGCTGCTACCTGCTAGGTCGGGAGCAGCTTGAGATCGAACATTCAACATCTATTGTCGTACTTGAGGATGCACCGTCTGGTATCCTGGCTGGTAAGGCTGCAGGGTTCAAAGTGATTGCGTTGAAGACGACGCATTCGCTGGAGCAGCTCCAGGAGGCTGGCGCAGATTGGATTGTGGAGGATTTGAGGAGCATTTCGGTCAAGGGGGTTGTTGATGGCCAGGTGCAGATCGAGATCAAGAATGCGTATCAATAGGTGGTTGTTGCCATCTCAGTTGCGCCGATTCGCTGCTGCATGGGCAGGGATGTGCTCTTTCATCCACAGCTGCGTGACGAGTTTCTTTGGGGTTGGATGCACAGCCTAGGCGTCTCATGGTAAAGATGTCATGACTTTTTATAGAATTAACGTGCACTACATACACGTTGGATTGTTAGATATATATTCAAATTTTCTAGACTTTTTTTATCAAACCAAGATTTGTCTTATTAGCGCAGCAGTCAGTTTTGTCTTGCTAGAGGACTTATACACTAGCAAATGACCACAATTTGTTCGTATTCTTCTGAAAAACGAGGATCACAGTTGGTGGTGTTGAAAAACGATACCTATACTAGAGAGGCAACCCGGATTCCAGCTGCTGTCTCAGACCATGTAACTGGCCAATTGGGCTTTTGAGTAGGACCGAATGCTCCCCGACCACAAGAACTAGGCTCTACATATCCCGAAACGGTACAAAGATAAGAGGTCCCGAAGTAGCTCAGGTGGTTCCCCGGCCGGGGATGTAATCGGGCCAGGCAAGGTGCAAATGCAAGATAGAATGTACTATGCACGAGTTCCACATACAACCCACCATGTGTAGGTAGTTAGAAGCAGGTATGGAGCTCACTCTAGCCTCGCACACGAATCAGCGGTGCTATCGCCGTTGCAATAAGTACGGACGCATTTAATGACAGCAGACATGTCTCATAACAAGGATGGCGGCTAGTCTAGATGATTCGACCGGCAAGGATCAAACCGTATAGCTGTTGACATGGTAACTGGACGCCCTAGACTACCATGGCGTGGCGGACACCTTTCGTGGTTATGCAGCTACGCAATCCTTGCAGCTCGAAGCCGGATTTCTTCAGCAGGGCGTTGCAGCATGCAAATGTACCTGCTACTCCCGTCTGATCCAATCAATCAGGCAGGGCGAGCCGCAAACTACCGTTCATGTACGCTTGAGCCCTCGATGGATGTGGAACCAGGCCATGAGCGCGGAAGTGCATCCCCGAGGGGAATGACTTCAGGATTGGGAAAACAATACCAGATCTGCTTTTATTGGAGCTGGGCGTTCTGGCTGCAGCCATAGAGGGTTCAGCAGCTGCACCTAGCTCTTTCGGGGAAAGGATTAGATGCTCACGAGGATATGACTGCTTTTCCTCCCGGCAACTTTGGAACAAAATCATTGTGTGAATGCCATTGGTGGGCCAATTGGTTCTGGGGTGGACACATCCTACCTGACTGGGGGAGCTTGGAGCGAGAGCCAACTCTCTCCAATGGTGTCGAGGAAGCCCACTCGGCCGGTGAGAACAGCATGCAAGGGGCCTAGGTCATTCCGCTCATGGGTCGGGAAGAGGTGATGTTCGAATGCAGACCTGGATATCATCACAATTAACCGAACCAAGAAAGGCGATATGGGAGAGCAGTCTCGCTCTAAATTTGAGGGATTCCTTGTCCATGACCCTATTACATTGAACTCTGTATGAGGATGTGTGATGACGCATGAGGGGCATGCAATCTCATCACATACAGCAGATTTGTCCTAATTCAGATCTGGACTATAGCCTTGGGATGCACCGGGTTGGGGGGCGTGTCCAATCATGGTGCAGACCGTTCCTCTTGTGGCTAGTTTTTGTAGATTATTCTGCTTATTCTGCGAGCTCGAGCACTGGTCCCCCGAAACTGACAAATACATAATGCCAAGGTTATAGTTATGCAGGGCGCTCGATATAGTTGCGCACCGCCACAGGCATTTGGTCAGCGCCACAAGGGATTCTCGAGGACGGATCTATCACATTGACAGATCTGCACGGCTGAGCCACCTGGCTTCTGGCAACCGAAATACTCCGAGCCCCTAAAATATCGTGGTTGACGAGTCGAGAAAAGCACTAAGCCATGCGCCGCCATGGATAGGGGTTTGATATCATAATCGGAGGGTGGAGGACGGTCCGACCTCGGCCCCAATTGACCGTCAATCTATGAAGGTTTGAGACCGAGGAATATTTCATTTTGCTATCCCACTGTCGATCACATCAATTTTTCCCGGAGAATTGTGTCCCATTGTCTTCAATTTTGCACACTCGGGCAGTGTGTGGTTGTTGTTGCAAGCCCGATATTTGAGATTGTGATTTCGGTGATGGGAGGGGATCCGTGCGGGAACTTGGAAATACGTTACGGATCGATCCAGGGGTCCCGAGGTCGTCATGGTAGATCCCCCGAACTTTTACTACGAAGTCGATCTCTGTGCAACATTGCTGAAATAGCCTAAATATGTACTCAAGTACGAGAATGGGGCTTGTTATACGGAGTACTTGGAACTCCGTACTCCATATGTTACTGCATTAAAGGCGTAGAGAACATCAGAGATCGGGGCCTCTCGGCCAGGCTAGAGTAATATCAAACTGGTCCATCTCTACGCTGCTCGGATTCGTCTATGATGTAGTGTACTCCCCATGAACTCGGACCATGAGACCATTTCGTGAGTGGGTTGGTGGGGCATGATGTGCCAAGGCGAAAGTGAGCACAATCGCCCAAAGGAAGGGGTCGTGAAGCTGTCGGGAGTATCATCGGGTGTGATGTGCGCCGATACGCGCCTTCATGCACAGAAGCGTGGACGGGAACCCGATTTATAAGTTTCTACATCGTCACAAGCACGTCCATCGCAGAATTACTGCTGAAGAGCCATAGCCAGGTATCGATACAAAGTTTGAGGGGATCGAAAAGCCACGTTGTGTACGGATACTCTCGTATGATCTACCCACTCCGTGGAGCTGCTAGTACCGTCTCAAACAAGGTCTTTGCTCTGGATTTTTCTCCGGAGCGATACCTCGGTGTCAATCACTCCACCATAGTCTTCTAATCTATGACTGGCTGACCGAGCATGATCAACCTAGGATCACTATAGCGTTGGGGTATTTTGGGTCAGATCATGCTACCAGATAGAGCAGTCAAAAGGTAGATCACTAAATCGAGGAGGGGTGCTCTTGTGGCTTACAGCTAGAGCAGAGGTTCCGCTAGGCCGGTTCATTGTTGCCTTATTCTCTGGTGCTACTATCCATGTGTCGACGAGGTCATAGTTCGGGTTCGCTATACGGTAGGAGGACAGGCGTTCGGGGATCTCTCGACTCCATAGTTTGAGATTCGTCGCCCAGGGATCTCGAGTGTTTGACTGTCAATTGTTCTGAACAGCTGAGGTGAAAGATTCTGAGATGCCCCATGGTAGAGTACTATCTACAATGTCCTCCGTATAATGGAACTGCCTACTTACCAAACCAAACGTAGAATGAAACAAAGTTGAGACGAAAGGTTACCATAGCGTCAAGGACAGCCCAGCAGTTACCGGATGTTCGGGCAGTGATCATCTTTAGGCGCATGTGCATGTTAAGGGGGTGGACAAAGTTGGGGCTGCAATCCTCGTGACTTGCGTGCATAGAACGTCTTATTCCAGACGTTTAGCGCTTGTACAACATAGAGCAGCTCCAACCAGAATCCCGGGAAAAGGCAAGATGGTGTCACATACGTCGAATATGGTTGGAGCCTGGAAAAAGCCGAATAACAGGGGGCACAAGATATGTGCTCAGAGAGGGGGCGCCACATCCAAAGAAAGAGATAAAGAAAAAAAGCTCGGCAGATCCTTGAGTGATCGACGGGGGATCTGTCGACTATTGATGTTTAGTTTGTCTTGGCTGACTGCCATGCTCCCGCACTAGGATGGATTGGTGCTAGTGGAAAGGGGGAGACTGTCAGTTACAGATAGCTGACACCTGGTTGCTTCAGGAGTCACTAGTCTACGGAGTCACTATTATACAATGTGCCTTTGTAGATAGAGTAGACATCATCATCATCGCTCTCCATGATCGTGACGATCCTCGAATCAAACAACCGTATTGTATCGGGGACCTGCCCGATCGTCTGACCCAGAGCACCGGTCTCCATTCACCCCGGTACGAGGGAACGCCTAGGACTCGACCGGGATGTTTAGGGAGGAAATGTGACTGTTACCTAAAGCAGATTGATTAGTTATGCAAGTCCGATCACCCACGGGTACGGAATTCCGTACCGATGTCTAGTTACAACTTGACGACGTCTTACGTGTAACTACTCCGTAGGGCTATGAACATACAGCATTGTACTCCTACGGCATTATCGCACGTAATTCGGTACTTACTAGCAGATCCACTGGTGTTTCTTTCCAAATTAAATTCTTCTATAGTGGACATGATTTTCTTTGCAGCGACGGGCACCTCCTGGGATCGGACATGACGCTAATGCAGGAACTGGGATTTTTTGCGTTTGTGTTTTTTTGGTTTGTGGAATTCGCGGGACACGAAATGGTGGTCCTCAAGTCGTGAAGAGATCTTACAGGAGGTGTATCCCGTCGTATATCGGTATTTTAAATCCTATAAAATACCGCGGGAGGCATCCGACCCAAACTCGGCTCTCCGCATCTGAACCCTGGCTCACCTTTGTTTAATCCGAAGCTTACTAGTATAAGGTACACTAGGTACATAGTTATAGGTAATTCCGGTGCTGTGGCAGGTATGGAATAGAAACAACGATTCATACGAGATCGGACTCTATGGCGCCTCGTATGCTATGCTATTTTTCAGTCACACGTCCATGTTGAAATAGGTTCACGAGGGGGGAGTCTGGACGGGATCGGAATTATGTTATGGGCCAACTCTATTCTGGAAACAGACCAAAATAAAAAAAATAAAAGGATAAAGGATACATCGTAGAGAATAAGAATAAAATCCAGGATATTAAAAAATCAAATCCAAATGTGACTCTGATGCAGTCAGGCCGCCACCCCCTACCGAGCGGGCGGTAGCGCGACTCCACGGGCTAAAAAAGGATGAAATACGGTGGGGGTGGTAATTCGGCTTTCAATTCGTGGATGGTTGGAGAAGCAGACGATCCCCGATCTGAATTGCTTTTCATTGCGATTCCTTTTCCAGGATTTATTCGAATTTGTATTTAAAATCTTATTTCGATATAATTGAGAATATAATTTCGATTTGCTATACTCGATCCAAGTATAGGTACCCGCCCCCCGGGTACTGATAGCACACAAGTCTCATGTACCCAGTACAGGCACAGACCTTTGCAAGGCTGTTTCATCTGATTCCCCGTTACTGAACAATACCCACCCACCACCCAATCATACCACACTGTTCGGCAGCTCTGTACGGCGCTTTACCAGCCGTCACCCCCGATCTTCCCAGCGCCTCATCTTTCTTTCTCTTCATCCTTTTCCTTCCCAGTCTTTCCTTTACGTGACTTTTTTTGCTTTTTTTGCTTTCTTTTTCCATACACACTCTTTTGGGTCCCTAATTCCCGAGTCTCTCCTTAATATCGACTATTATCACAAGCTACCGCTGCTCATTTCTTTTTCTTGACGGACTACCCGTACTGCCACTCTTTACATTTACAATCAAGGTCCCTGCCGTTCCCATCAGAGGTTGAACCAACCCGAATCTACTTCATGATATAGACCTCGTTCCTCGAACCTGCCACTCTCTTGTGCAGCCCCATTCCCGTCTCTATCTCTCTTGCGCCCCCACGGCTTCTTCTCCCCTATACTTGCCCACTCTTTGCTCCCGATCATCATGAGCTATATTCACCCCTCATGGAACTACCAGGGTCACCAGGGTATCCCAATGGACCAACACATGGCATACGACCCGTCCATGGTCCCTCCGCCGATGATGCACCCTATGGATGGCTATATGTATCACCACCCGCCAATGGAGATGATCGACTACTACCACCAACCGATTATGGACTACGACGAATATACCGAAAATCTGTCACGACCGCGGTTGACCAAGGAACAAGTTGAAACCCTAGAGGCTCAATTCCAGGCTCATCCGAAACCAAGCAGCAACGTTAAGCGTCAATTGGCGGCTCAGACAAACTTGAGTCTGCCTCGCGTTGCAGTATGTGAAATAGAGGCTATAACCTTCCGATCTACAGAGAGCTAATCGAATGAATAGAACTGGTTTCAGAATCGTCGCGCAAAGGCCAAGCAACAGAAACGCCAGGAGGAATTTGAAAAGATGACGAAGGCCAAGGCCGAGGCCGAGGAGGCTGCTCGCCGGAAATCAGAGACCTTGGACCAACTGTCGGGATCCCGAAAAGGATCAATTGCGAAGGAGGAGTCGGAGAGATCCGCTACTCCTAAGCAAACACCTACCTCCACGTCCAGCGGTCATGCCAAGACAGATTCTACATCCAGCCGTTCCAAGCACCACAAAACAAAGAGCGAGTCGGCAAGAGAAGCAACTTTCGCATCTCTGCAGAGGGCGCTGAATGCTGCCTGTGCTGGCCGGGATCGATTCGGTCGCCGGATTAACCCCCGGAGCAAGAATGAGTCCGTTCCCGAAGAAGAAGACGAAGAAGAGACAGTGTCCCCTGGCTCAATGCCACCACCGAAGACGACCACTCCAGCTAGTGATCATGGGAACCTTGCCAACATAAACACTTCCTTTTCAGGTTGGTCTGGTATCAAGGAAGAACCTTCCTGGGGATCTGGCGGGCACAATGAGAATATGGGATACAACACAGAGCAGACCTCATATTCCGCTTGCCACCAATCAATGGCAGAGATGTCAAATCACCCCCACTCTATGCATCAGAACTTGGACGTCTACTCGAACCACCTAACCCCTCACAGGGACGAGTGGTCTCAGGACAGCAACCCACGACACGAACAACTTGTCTACAGCAACATGCAATATCCAATGTCCATGCAGGCACCAGATATCTCCGTCACACGTCGTGAGTCTTCTGATGCGCTGACTGCCTCACTGGAGGGCATTGGAATCTGTACCGGCCAATCTGGGATGTCTCAATCCGTCGATCGAGCAGACGGGATTTGGAAGGAACCCGGCAAGGAGCTTGATCTCGCCGCACGCCGCAAGCGCCCTCGTCCCGCTGCCATTGGCACTTCGGGAACTCGTCCCTTGGCCAACTCGACCTCGATGTCCTCGCTCTCGCCTACCGCTCGTATGCCTAATCACAGTGCTGGCAACTCGATGAGACAATCCAAGTCAACTCAGAGCCTCAACTCCCGGTATGCAGGCGTGAGGAAGGCATCGGCTGCCCAGCGCTCTCCACTCAACTTCACTTTTGCGGATTCTGGTTCTATCAAGAAGGCCGAGCAGATGCTGCGACCCTCGCTCTCGACCACTAGCCTAGCTCCACCCACTCCCTTGACTCCGCAAGACCTCCAGAATTTCATGCCTGCCTCCCCCGCGGATAGCAACTACTGCATGTCGGCCCACTCCACAGCCCACTTCTTCCCTACTTCTCAACCCATGCAGGTCAACATGGCATCACCTCCTGCTACGCCAATGGATATTTACTCTCCCTTCCCTTATCAAAACGTTGCTCCCCCTATGTCAGCTCCGGCTCACGTCTCTTCCTTCCCCGAGTATATCACATGTGACTCGATTCCCATCCCACCCCGCAGCTGGGCCGACACTGCTTCCATATCTTCGCCCGAGTACCCGGCTGGTCTCCAGGTGCATTCAACCACTGTCTCGCCCATGGGCTATAACGCGACCACCGACCATACCGGGCAGGCCTTTGGAATGGAATCGGTCTCTGGATCTCCGTCTTTGATCTATTCGATTGAAGATACCGATATGCCAGGCTCTGCAGAGCTCGCGGAGAGGAAGCGGACTGAATTCATGATGCACGAATTCCCAGAGCACGATCTCCAGTATGGTGGCCATCACTTGCCATCGATGCAGAAGCCGAAAGCCTACACGTTCGCAAACAACACGACACCAAGTAACTACCCTTCCTAAGTGAAGGTTCATTGATCTTTCCCTTACCATGGATGTATGAGCAATGCGCGACAACTTTTGGTGTTTTTGGTCTACTACAAAAATTTCTGCCTTCACCTTCGTTTTCCTACACTTTCCCTCGGGGAGATGTTGTATACCCAACCCTCCGTGCGCGAAGAAGCACTGTCACTTTATGTCTCCTATATACTATTTTCCTTTTCGTGTCTCTTTATTTGGGGTGTATTCACCGGGTTTTTACATATTTGGAGCATTCCTTGCATGTTGTTTATTGGCCTAGGAGTGTTTTTGTTATTTTGGTGTCTGATAGGACCTTTTAATTTCTGCCGAGCTTCCTCCCGGGAACTTCGAGACCTCTTTTACCTTCTACCTTTGTCTACTCTTTTTTATTCCTGTTGGAATCGGTTTTGTGGATTGGATTTGAACTTGGGTTTGCATATGGCTTTGGCAGCATCTGGCTTTGATATTTTCCACGATATATACACTTGTTATGTATCTACACTATCTCATATTTCTCAATCAAATCAAAAAGGGGTTGATCTCTTGCATTTTGGCATTTACCCGAAATAAACCCGATCAACCAGCAGACGGTCAGGGCTTGGCTATTAGGCCAAGCCATCGGTGTCTTGCCCTTTTTATATTGTAGCTCGCTCATCCGAGTACTTTGGGATATACTCCGAAGGTACACTGATGTCGTACAATAATGGATCCAGCACGTGCGCCAGACCATAGGTTGTGGTGTCCGGAACCTTGGAACGCGGAAAAGCGCCCCTGGAACTCACCGTAACCTTAACTACCACGTGCGCTACAGTCTCTCAAGGTTCGTACCTGTGTATAAAAGGAGCATATTTGTCGATCTTATCCCAAGAGCCAGAATAAATTTGTGTACATATTTGGACGTTGGAATTGAAACCCGTGTATCTCCGTCCGATGAGACTATCCACCCTCGGCACAGCCCTTGTGGGCCTAGCTGCCGCGCAGGCATCAATTATCAATTACTCCGCGGTCACAGGCTACTTCCTGCAAGATGAGGCTTCGACTGATGCCTCTACATTTGACTATGTAAGTGAACAAATACCGGCGAATTATAGCAGAAACAATCTCTTCGTCGACGCCTTATTATTCGGTCCGCTGACATGTTCAGACAGCGGAGAACTTCGGCCTGATCGCCCGCTCATATCCCGCAGACAAGAATCACAAGAAGCACGAATCTCTGACCCAATGGGAACGCTTCTACCGCCAGGTCACTGCGTTGAATGATCATTCCCCCAAGGACGTCGAGTACAAGGTTCTGTTCCTTGGTCGACATGGCGAAGGATGGCACAATGCCGCCGAGACCTACTACGGAACGCCAGCGTGGAACGTAAGTCCCTACCTATGAACCACCTTAACGTTACACCAGGCCCAATCTCACCACCTCCATTCAGTGCTACTGGTCCGAGCTCAGCGGCAACAGCACAGCAAGCTGGGCAGACGCCACACTCACACCCGACGGCATCTCGCAAGCGCTCAAAGCAAACGAGTTCTGGCAAAAGGAGATCGATGAACAACGAATCCACACCCCAGACCAATACTACGTCAGCCCGCTGACACGCACCCTGCAAACCGCCAATCTAACCTTCACGGGCCTGGACCTCCCCAGACACAGCGCGCCCTTCAAGCCTACCATCAAGGAGCTCTTGCGCGAAGGGATCAGCATCCACACCTGCGACCACCGCCGCAGTCGCAGCTACATCCACAAGCTATTCCCGCACTGGTCCATTGAGCACGGGTTCAGCGAGGAGGACGAGCTGTGGAACGGCGTGACGGCCGAGTCGAGCGGCGCGCAGGATATCAGGAGCGCCCAGGTCCTAGGTGAAGTGTTCTCCGCTTCGCCCAAGTCGAAGACGTTTGTGTCGATCACGTCGCATTCGGGTGAAATCGCCTCGATTCTGAGGGTTATTGGGCACCGGACTTTCAAGCTGAATACCGGTGCTGTTATTCCTGTGTTGGTCAAGGCTGAGAAGGTTCGCGGTAAGGCGTCGACTACCTCTGTGCCTTGGGAGGTGAGTCCGCATTGTACGGAGCCGCCGGTTACGTCGGTTACGGCTTGTGTTTGTCCTTCCAGTGCGGTGCCTGTTACGACGGCTTTGGCTACTGGATTTTAGAGTGGCTTTCTTGGCTGGGTTGGGTGTGTCTAATGGTTTTGCTTGTACAGACCCGATGTACCAGCGAAGCAATTTGTGATGGTATTTGTTACAAATAACGGGCTGCTTAGGACTCCTTCCAATGTTGACGGCGTGGTTCGATAATCTGGTCCATAGGCTTAAGATGGTACAAAGGATACCCAAACCCGTATGTAATATTCAAGATTCCTTTCTCTATAGTATCTTTCGGACAATCTACTTTGAGGGCCTTAAATAATATCTTTTTGATCTCTTTCTATTCTCTTGTTGATATTTTAGATGTCGCCCCCTCTCCTCTATTCGTACTGCCGCTTGTGCGGTGAAAAAAAAGGTGTAATATCACACACAACATGATAGGTTAGATGCTAAGCAAAAAAAGACTTTTAACAAAAAGAAACGTCCCCGGGAAGGCTTGAACTTCCAACCTCCCGATTAACAGTCGGACGCGCTAACCAATTGCGCCACGGAGACTTGATTGTGGCAGAGGTCAATAGGAATGGCATTATGAGCATGTTTTAATGCAATCGATTTTATAGAGTGTGAACAGATCATAGCTGGTACTTAATTACCCCCCTTACTATTGACCTATGAGTAACGTGTGAGTAACGTATAAGTAACGGCTAAGTAATGTTTAAGTAATTTCTAAGTAACGTACAAGTAACTAACGTGCAAGTAATGCGTAAGTAACGGCTAAGTAACGCGTAAGTAAAGTCTAGTTGAGCAACCAACGTCTAAGTAACTAACCTATAAGTAACGCGTAAGTAACGTCTAGTTAGGCAACTTCTAAGTAACGCCTAAGTAACGTCTAAGTAATGTATAATAGAGGCTTGGAATTTTATGAGGCTCCGGAAGCTTCAAAGGTTCTTTCTCCACATAACTATGCGCCTTACCGTGATTAGTCATCTTTTAGAGTTTTTGACATACGGTATAGCCCTAGGTCGCTCGAAAGTCGCTATATATCATGCTAGTACTATACCTCCCATACTCTTTCGACGTTGATATACTTCACCACTATATCTCCTCATCACCGCGCGTTTATGATGTCGTTTCCCACAATTGAAAGGATGGCAGCCATCACAAGGCTGGTACATCAGCACCTTTCTTCCCTTTCTTCCCTTTCAATCTACCATAACAAGCTTGTATCCATCAAACAATCCTTGTTTTGTCTCTGTGAAGCATCTATTGTGCACTTGTTGTGAATTCTGACACTTGTTATATTGTTCCTATCTTTTCGGGTTCAATTACAGCAATGGATCCATCTCAGGCTCAAAGCCTGCCCGTGTCGCAGCTGTCTGCCGTGACCTTGACCACGTCGCCCTCGGATTCACTGGCTGTGGTGGCCTTAAACGGGTCGCCCACTCAGCAGCCTCTAAGTGATGCTCCTACTGACATCTACCCTTCGCCGACTCCTCGTGATGACGCACAGTCTAATCTGGGACGAGAGTCATCGCTCCCACCTGAAATTTTGGAAATGGTAAGTAACCCATTGAGCCAAGCCAATGCAGCCTAGGTCTCTTCGGCCAGCTAACCTTGTCTCAGATCTTTTATGCCGTACTTGAAAGTCCTCCCGCGTTTGAGGAATACGACTTCATTTATGGGGATGTCTTCGACAGCCCGGCGACCAAGGAGGCTCTTTCGACTTTCAGACTGGTGAACCGGGCCTGGAACTTCGTTGCAACTCCTCTCCTTTTCCGAAAGATCCAGGCCATGATCGGATGCTCTACTATTCGACCCCTTGATAAAATCCTAATGATTTCTCAAAGTCCATACGCTCTTTACGTACGCGACGTGCACTTTGGTCTCTTGGGAATATGGCTGCCCGGACTGGGTTATGATCAGTACATCGAGGATCTGGCAGAAGGAATTCTTCCGCTCCTGATGAGTCGTTTCAAGAACGTCCAAACATTCCGGTTGCAAGCACCCCCCTTGGTAGACTCATTCAGCCCATTAGCACTGCTCATGCCGGATATGCTTGCCAAGCTGACAAATTCTTTTGTGCATACTTTGCGCTTTATACCTGTCCCGAGACTGAGATGCCTTCATTTGTCTCTGCCAACTACGGCGGAATTTGCTCGTTTCTTAACGACGTACTCATACTCCAAGAGCTTCGCCGAAATTTGTGCCGGAATCGAAGAGCTACACATCATCATCAATGACAGCACCGGCCTTGGTGTCAGGGCAACCCCGAGACGACCTCGCTCATTAATCGAGGCCGGGTTTCTAATCGGGCAATTTACCCCGTATCTCGTCCTACTCATCTCTCATGCAAAACGGATCCAAGTCCTCAGCTTGAATGCTTATAGCTGGCTTGATCTATCCGATCTGCAAGCAGGGAGTTTCTCTCAACTTAGAAGCCTCCGGCTCGAAGGTGTGCAGGTCAAGCCCGAGACTCTCCATCAGATTTTCATAGAAGCTCGGAATACGCTGCTTCGCGTTGAATTGATCGATGTTAAGCTCCTGGCCGGTACCTGGTCTGAAGTTTTTGATGTTTTCCAATCTTCTCGATTGCTTCCTCCCCCTAACCTCAACTGGCTTCATATTTCTGGATGTGGCTACGCCATGACCGGCCAATACACTACTCGTGGATTCTCGGAAGTCCGACAAGCACTCTGGTCCACCCGTGGCCAGGACTGGATTGGTCTTATAGCCTGGATGGCGATGACGAATAACAACCGTAGTTTCCAGGGATTGCCTCCATGTCCGCATTCTTACTTCCCGACTCCCCCAGTCATCACCATCGACTATTAGTCGGATGCATTGGGAGTCGGATTTACAGAACAAAGAGGTCACAGGGGGGGGCATCATGATTTGTAACTGCTGTTCTGGTTTCTGGTGTCTGGGCTTACTGCCGGTAGACCTCGCTTGGGGTTTTCCCTTGCTGGGGTGTCTACCCGGTGAGTAACTGCTGTCCATTCTTCTCTGCCTGGTTGTTTCAATCTCCAGGAGAGGTATGTAAGATTATTTGTCGATTCTGCGTCTGGTCGTCTTGACCTCCAGGCGTAGCAAATGTAATTTACGATTTCTTTTTCCTTCCTTTTTCTGGAGTGATTCTTTTCCTTTCCTAGTCTGATTTCTGGGTATGCGGTATCGTAGTATATTGTAAAATTGCGAGAAGCTAGTCAACCTCTGAGTTAGTTAGTAAATTAGTTAGTCTTGCACCCATGCTTGAATAATTAGTTGGTGACTTGTGCTTTGCGGAGTAGCATGCCTCTACACCCTTTCACTTGTGGGCGCATCTCCCCAGTTTCAATGTCTGAAGAAATTTAGGTTTTCATGGTTTCACGTCGTTTCGTCTTTTCTTCGTTTTTGCCCTTCTCCCTTGTGGCTACGAGAATAATATTGAAACTCCCAACCCTGATCCCTTAGCTTTGGTTCATATAGCATAAAAGTCGGTCGCTCTTCATCAAATAAGTCTCCGTGGCGCAATTGGTTAGCGCGTCCGACTGTTAATCGGGAGGTTGGAAGTTCAAGCCTTCCCGGGGACGTTTGTTTTTTGATTTTGAATCAAATCCAGTTATCTCATTTGCAAGGGGACATTCTTGCTTCTGTCTTGTTTTTTAGGGTTAATTTTTTGGGGGTTCTAGTCAGATAGGGTGAGGTTGGTTTAAACTCAGTCGTCGAACTTTATTTATTGTACTGCTCAATTGTATCCATGGGTGTATCGTACATACATAGCCCTTCTTTATCTAGTGCATCATTTATTTGGCCGACAATAAAACGAGCTATATGCAGTCCCTAGTATCTCGGTCATCTTCGAGAAGTAGGAGGAACTACTACTTGATGTTAGCGAGGTCTATTCATATCAAAGACAGGAACTAATTGTGACTACTACGTGGTCCATGGCCATATTCTGACGACAGGTTATCTCGCTTCATGGGCTGAATAGACCAGTTATGTATCACTCTACTCTTTATTGGGACAGTTATAGCTCCAGACATTTGGAGGCATCGGTGTTTGGGGGTGGAGATGCTTAGTTGATGTTAAAGTGTTGTACGAAAACAGCTATCTAGCCGGTTGGTCTATGGTATTTACATTACAGTTTTTCATAAAATACTTGACATGTATATGTAGATCTTATTCCCTTCAGATAACAATGGATATCTATAATGCCAACTCGTGGGTTGTTCTGGTTTGGACGGGATTGTATGGTTTGCGTCGTCGTGATGATAAGCAACCCAGCGCAGATGTGATCCTTGGGTTGATTATGTGTGAGTAAATGTCCGGGTTGTAGGATTGGGTGGCACTGGATTTGAAGTTCGCAGGCCTGGGTCAATCTTGTGACTCCGGGAAGTGTGTATGTCTGATGGATGTCTAGTTGATTGTAGAGTTCGAGACTCTCGATGGCTGTTTCCTGTCGCGTTGCGGGGATATGTCATCTCCATCTATGGTGTTTGCTATGTTTATTCTGTGTTTATCTATGTAGCAACTGGTGGCCAGAGCGAACAAGTTCGAGGCATGGTCGGACGAAGTAGCGCTGTGACATATATATATCATCGCCGAAATAACAACATCTCAAATTAAAATATACCCTTTGTTTTGGTGTTTCAGCTGGGGAATGAAGAGATATATATTTGATGAGATCTTCGAATTACTTGATCCCTGTTGGACAAAGGAATTTGGATTAATATGTGCATGATAATATACTACGATATTAGGACTGCTTGCTGTGTACGACAAGCATGAGCTTTTTATAATTCCACTGTCTCATGTCTATTTCATGAAACAAGTCTCCGTGGCGCAATTGGTTAGCGCGTCCGACTGTTAATCGGGAGGTTGGAAGTTCAAGCCTTCCCGGGGACGTTTCTTTTTGTATTTTTTTTTATGCTTCCATCCATCTCTTTTCGCGCTATTATAAGACAATAGACAGAGAAAAATAATTTATATTTTTACATGTTGTATTAGTTCAACCAAATAGAACAGAGGATAAAAACTAGGATAGCGGCTGCAGCGAATAATCATTGATATGTATGGCCATCCACCTCGCAACTACAAGAACAGTCGCGACCAATATGGAACCAGTCAAAGCTAGATATCAATGGAGAAAAAAAAAGTAGGGTTGAAATACCATATCAACTGGAATCACCAGAAGAAATAAAGTATGGAGAGTAGAAGAAACCAAGTAGAGAAGAGAAACTGTCATCTGACAGGTACATGTATGTAATCGCAAAATAAGAACGAGGCCATAAACATTGATACATATGTAGGCGAGAACATCTGGGTTTAAACAAGGATAGAACTCAAATACACAGGGAAAGCAGATGCCAGCGAACAAGGATCACACTTCTCTGAACAGCTAAGCGACCATCAGACATCTCGCCAAGGCAAAAGAAAACTAGACCGTCCACAGTGATTCACCCTCTATTCATGTATAAGTAATAGAACGAAAACACACATACTCATAATCCTGTAACACTCTGTCCAAAAGGGTAGAATAAACGCCGAGCATAAGGACCCAACGCCAGTAAAGGCATACCAAGAAAACAAGAATAAGTAAACAAAGGAACAGGAACCTCGACCAAGAACAACTCAACAAAGGGTATAGGAAGGTTGGCCCAGATTAACATTAACCGAACATCCTTCACCATGGAATGCAGTGAAGAATGCAGTGGAACATTGGAATAGGAGAAAATTTCAGGTATGAATGAAACCATGTGATAAAAGTAGAAAAAAAAAAAATCGAGCCTCAGATGATAGTGTAAGCTGGTAAGAAGTAAAACGCCCATCTAGATAACGCCAGCTGTCGCGAGCTAGTACGACCACCCACCCCCTAAGGGACTGCCAGACTGGCCCGGTTGAGGTTGTCCTGGTTGCATCGGGCCACCAGGTCCGCTAGGCCACCCAGGTATACCATTGCCTGCCATGTTCATTGCAAGATTTGCCTGTTGAGGGTTTCCGCCCATGAAGGGTTGGCCACCATGAGCCTGGTTGGGTGGATACATGGCTCGTGCCATGCCCGGATAACCGGTCGGGTTGACTCCCGGATATCCTCCCATGCCCTGCATACCCTGAGCCTGCGCCACCTGCGGGTGTTGTATTTGGGGATATTGCTGAGGCATCTGAGGTATTGATTGTCGCTGTTGATTGCGAGGAGACTGGTGGTGATGTTGCTGCTGCGGATGATGCCCGAGGGGAGATGGGCTTTGTTGCGGAGCAGACATTTGTTGACCATACTGAGACATTCCAACGCCCTGGTGACCTGAAGACGGCAACGGGGAGGGCTGTGGCTGTGGAGGTGGCTGCCCCCAAATCTGCTGTTGTTGCGGTGAATATCCGTATGGAGGAGGCTGACCCATACCGCCACCCATAGATGGATTGGGCCGCTGTTGCATGAGATTGGGCTGCATGTTTGGTGGGATTCTCAGGGGAGACTGTCCAACGGACTGTGGGTGAGCCTGCTGGGGGTAGTTTGGTTGTCCACCCATCATTGGATTAGACTGCATGGGAACCTGCTGAGGGAGCATATGCTGCGTATGAGCGGGATTCGGCATCCCGGCAGAGGGAATCTGTGATACCTGAACGGGCTGTGACACAGACAAACCCGATTCGAGAGCGGTATTAGACTGGGCCTCCGAGACCGGGGCCTCGCGGGGCTTGGAGTAAAATTCATCCAAGCCTTTTTGGCGGAAACTGCGCTGAATGCTCAACATTTTGTTGAAATCAGACGTGTGTTGGGCTTGATTCATGAGGTCTGCTGCCGAGCTTGTTTGCGTGCGGTCGTGGTAGGGTTGCCCGGTCATTTCCTGGCGTGCACGAGGCATGACTGTGTAATCTCGCAGCCGGGGGTCATCCGTCGTCGACATATGGATCATAGGGAGTGGAATCGAAGATTCAGAAGTATCCAGCGAGAGCCCGTGCGGCAATGGCTCGATGGCATTACTGTAGACAACATCGTTATGAGGCAGCGCCGGCAACAGGTTTGTAGCTGGCTCTGAGACGGAACCATCGCGAGCCTTAGCCGCACCAGGACGTTTCTCACCCGCGAGGTCATCCTCCGTGAAGCCCTGCTTTCTAGCTTTGGTCTCCCAGTAGTCATCTCGAACCCGACGGCCATTCACAATCACCCGGCTCCCAAACTGTCGGAACATGGATCTGGCAGAGACAATAGCGATTTGGCGGGACCGATAGGAATATGGCAAGATATCTTGCTGGATAAGATCGTCTTTCTCGATTTGGGAAGCAATGATTTTATGCAACGATCGGTTCTTGTTGAACAAAAGATACGAATCACGATAATTCAATACCCTCGCGCACTCAGTCGCAAGCATGAATAGTTTGTTGCCCCGGAGGGGAACACGGAATGTCCGGCATTTATACTCGCGGCCACCCTGCGGATATCCCATAGGATCTGCCTTGGTCTCTCCAGCTTCATCAAACTCTTTAGGGATGTACTCATCACCTTCTTCATTGAGCTGGTCTGAAGTGTGATCTCTCACAGTAGGGAGCGCTTTGACTAGGGATTTCGTTGGTGTACTCTTGCTGTCCGGTGATGCCAGAGACGGCGACCCGGCGGTGGCTTGCGACAGTGGGCGTGCTTGCATTTGGGGAGTTTGAATAAGCGTGTTTGCGATGTGTTGTTCACTAGAGCTTGGCCGAGGCGTCTTTGGGGGACGCCCGCGCTTGCGGCGACTTTGTTCCTCTAAAAAAAGAGACAATGTTAGCGTATATTGAGGTACGCAAGCTGTGATTAGGCAAAGTGCAAGCGCTGGTGGGAATATAGCACAGTTCTGGATGGAACCTATTGACAATGC